ACCTGAGGTCCCTCATCATCGACGGGCAGTGGACTCAGGCGCGTAAGGAGGAGAAGGGGCTGGCGCCCAGTGCTGGGTGCTTGAGGTGTGGCGCCAGGGGCACGCTGATGCACAGGCACTTCGACTGCCCGTGCTGGAGTGAGGTGCTGACCGTCCCAGAGGACTTGGCAGGTCTCCGAAGGCAGAGCGGGAGGCCTGAGGTGCAGCTGCTGCTGGAGAGGTGCCTGTGGCCGACACCACGGGGCATCCGCCGCCCGCCAGTGTGCAGCGACGTGTGCTGGAAGGGCGACCACGAAGGAGGCACCCTTCCTGAAGGCGAGCTGTTTCTCGACGGCTCGGCGTTCGAGGCGGACTACGAGGAGGTGGCGGCAGTTGGCTGGAGTGTGGTGGCGCTGCAGGCGCACAGCGACGGCTACAAGGCCTCCATCGCTGGCCAGATGGAGGGCCACTGCGTGGACATCAACGGCGGGGAGCTCACGGCGGTGATCATGGCGCTCAGGTTTGGCCAAGGGGTCACGGTGCTGGTGGTCGACTCCAAGTACGTGTACGACGGCTTCTACAAGGTCGGCAGGGTAGGCACCACGGGCTACGCGTACACGTGGGCGCACCTGTGGCGGCGAGCCTGGGACCTGCTGGACGAGCGAGGAGGTCTCGGGCATGAGGTCAGCCTCAGGTGGATGCCCAGCCACAGTACGCGGCGGCAGGTGGCGGCAGGCGAGGTGCTGTACAGAGATTGGTACGGCAACCGACTGGCTGACAGGGCGGCAAAGGCTGCGGCGGCCAGCGGGCGCCTCCCCGCGCGGGACAGAGAGCGCCTGGAGAGGAGCCGAGACGTGGTCGAACGAGCAGCCATGTGGTGCGCGGCTGTCGGCAGCTGGGTCGACGGCAGCGACACCACGCACGGCAAGACGAAGGTGCAGCGAGCCCTGCCAGTGCGCAAGGAGCCAGCGGCGAGGATGGCCTGCGTCTGGCGGAGGCTGCCTGGCCAGCGTCCCTGGTGCGAGGTCTGCAGATGGTCAGGCAGATCAGGTGAGTGCCCTGGCAGCATCGTCGCCGAGGCGATCAGGGCCAACAACAGGCTGAAGGCGCAGCAGAGGGCGTCGCACGACCTGGTGCTCCTTGCGCCTGTGGATTGGAGGATGCTGGTGCGCAGGATGCCGCTGGTCGCTTGCAGGGCGTGCGGCTTCACAGGCGCGGCCAGAGCGAGCTCCTTCCACCTCGAGTGCAGGAGTGTCCCGTCGGCTGCAGGTGCCGCCGCAGTCGCGAGACTGAGGAAGGGGCTGGCTCCGAAGGTGGTCAGCGAGGTGGCAGTCAACATCACGGTGCTGGCGGACGACGTGCAGGAGGGGAGAGGGCAGTCGCCGCGGGACATCGCGGAGGAGGAGGACGGCCACTCCTTGAGGCCGCCAGGAGGAGCTCCAGGTGGAGGGGCAGGGGAGGATGCGGGCTCACTGCGTCCCCTGACCCCTGAGGGCTCCAGAGCGGCGGCTGGCCTGAGAGGACGAGCTGGCGGCAGGTGTGCAGCCGCGGCGCACCAGGCCGAGGCAGGAGACGAAGCAGGGCCTGCGGGCGGCGGCGGAGGGCCACGCCCGCGGCGCCGCACGCGTGTGCGCAGCAGATCGCTGAGGCAAGCCGCGCTGACGCCGCCCTCGAGGTCGCCGATGCGGGCGGCCAAGGTGGCCAAGCTGCAGCAGGAGGAGAGCCAGCGGACTGAGGCGGGCCCTGCAGAGGGAGGAGACGAGGTGGCCACAGGTGGCAGCGGCGGCGGACCGCCCCCGCCGATGATGGCGGACGACGCGCAGGAGGTGAGAGGCCAGTCGCCGCAGGACGTCGCGGGGGAGGAGGACGGCCACGCCTTGCGCAAGCCAGAAGGAGCTCCAGGTGGCGGGGAGGACGCGAGCTTACTGCGTCCCCTGACCCCCGGGGGCTACCGCGGTGCGGCTGGCCCGAGAGGGCGAGCTGGCGGAGGGCGTGCGGCCGCGGCGCGCCAGGAGGCCGCAAGAGGAGAGGCAGGGCCTGCAGGCGGCGGCGGCGGGCCAGGCCCGCGGCGCCGCGCGGGTGTGCGCAGCAGCTCGCCGAGGCAGGCCGCTCCGACGCCGCCCTCGCTGGCGCCGAGGACGGCGGCCGAGGTGGCCAGGCTGCAGGAGGGCAGCCAGCGGCCTGAGACGGGCCCTGCCGAGAGAGGAGACGAGGTGGCTGCAGGTGGCAGCGGCGGCGGACCGCCCCAGCCACGCGAGGCCAGCGGAATCCAGGTGCTGGCGGACGAAGCGGAGGACCACAGCGCAGCGGCTGGCCCGAGCGGGCGAGCTGGCGGCAGGCGTGCAGCCGCGGTGCGCCATGCCGCGGCACGAGGAGAGGCAGGGGCTGCGGGCGGCGGCGGAGGGCCAGGCGCGCGGCGCCGTGCGCGAGTGCGCAGCAGCTCACCGAGGCTGGCCGAGCTGACGTCGCCCTCGCAGTCGCCGAGGCGTGTGGCCAAGGTGGCCAAGCAGCAGGACGAGTGCCAGCGGCCTGTGGCGGGCCCTGCACAGGGAGGAGACGAGGTGGTTGCAGGTGGCAGTGGCGGCGGACCGTCCCCGCCGCGCGAGGCCACAGAGGCCAGGCCGCGGGAGGAGGTCCAGCCGCCCGCAGGGGAACCTGCTGCTCGATGCGAAGCAGGGGCTGCGGGCGGCGACCACGTGGCCATGGAGAGTGGGCTGCAGGAGGAGAGGCTGCCGCCCGCAGGTGGCTCTGCTGCTCGAAGCGAAGCAGGGGCTGCGGGCGGCGGAGGCGGCTGGCCGAGGCCGCGGCGCGGCGCGCGGGAGCGCAGCAGCTCGCCAGGCTTGGCAGCCAAGGTGGCGAGGCTGCTGCGGGCCGCGCGGGGTGAGGCCTGGCCGACAGCCTCGGGTGCGTAGCTGCGCCGAGGCGCGGGCGCGCGTGGGGCGCGCGCCTCGCAGGGGTGGCCGTGGCTCGACGCGGTCCGCCTCACCCCGCGGGCATCATTAATTCTCCTCCTCTCCTCTCTCTCTCTCTCTCTCTCTCTCTCTCTCTCTCTCTCTCTCTCTCTCTCTCTCTCTCTCTCTCTCTCTCTCTCTCTCTCTCTCTCTCTCTCTCTCTCTCTCTCTCTCTCTCTCTCTCTCTCTCTCTCTCTCTCTCTCTCTCTCTCGGCAAGTGAGTTCGTCGAACGCGGCCATCCCCCACAGGGCCTGTCGGCCTTGGGGGGGTTGATCAAACTAGTGTGCCACGCGACCTTCTGGTCGGGGCTGTGGCGCTAGCGGAGCGGGGACAGACGAAGACGGGGAGGCGAGGGACCGAAAGGACGAAAGGGGCCCGAGCCGAAGCACGAAGGAGGAAGGCGAGAGAAGGGAGAGAAGGGGTTCCCTCGAAACAGAGACAGGCCGACAAAGCCCCCCCGAATGAGGAAGGGGGAGGGAAGGGGGGGGCCCAGGACGGCGGGGGGTTGGGACGAGAAGGGTCTGGAGCCGAAGGTCTGCAAACTGCATGGCGGACACGAAGGTGACGTACGGTGGGAAGCCTTTGCTTGGCGTGTCGCAGCGGCGGCCCCAGCGACGCGCTACGTCCTGCGAGCGGATGCAATGTGGCTCCGCTTTGGACGTGGATAGTGTGTCGCACCAAATCGCAGTGGGCCGGAACCAGCGGCCCGACACCGTAATCGGGGAAGCCCCAAGCGGATTGCCGAGTTCGCGCTCGAGTGTTCTGGACTTGGCAAACGTTTGGCTCAGCTGGGAAATTCACTTCGTAGAGCAGAAGTTCTATGCTCAAGAGGTCCCGACACGTTCGCAAATCGTCGCGTCCATTTCGGGCGGCCCAGAACCATGTCCCGCACAACTCCCAACACATTTCGTCACTGGCTGTTCAAATATTCGGGTCGTCTTGGTCGGACATCCGAAGGGTTCTTGGCTCTTTGGGTGCAGCTCACAGCGGTTTGCAGGCCTTCGGCTCCACACCTCGTTTCGGAGTTCCATGTCGCAGTGCGCCTGCAGTTTCGTCTCTGCGTTGCATGCGCGTGGTGCAGTGCATCGGTAGACGAAATAAACATCTGGATCGCGGGGATACTATTGTTGCATCAGTACGTGCATGTTCGGATTGCTGGTGCGACCTTGCGGTGTTGAGTGGTGAGGTCGCACTTCATGTCAATCAGTGGTTGATGCACCATCCGTAGTGCGACGATGTCTGATTCGAGCGACGCCATTTTCCAGAAACGTGCCCGGCCCGACACATTGAAGGTCGCAGGCGTGACGAAACGATCTATCGGATCCGTGGTCGACGCGTGAGCAGCGGTGACTTGCGCATCGCGGTCGGAGAAAGAGGTGGAACGCGTCAGGACAGAGTTGCAGGGGGGTTTGCAAACGGATGGGTGATGATGAGAAGGAGCAGGACCAGGAGAGCGGGGAAGAGAATGATGTTGAGGAGGGGAAGGACCATGCCGACGAAGCGGACCTCCTCCTCCTCCTCCACCTCATCCTCCTCTTCTGCCCCATCCTCTTTGTCATCTTCCTCATCCTACTGCCCCTCCCGCGCCTCCCGCTCTTCCCTCTTCCCTTCTGGCATGCCTCTGCGACTCTTCTCTTGCTGCCCATCCCAGACCTCTGGCGTCACGTTTGCTCCTCCACGTGCCCCCCCCCTGGACATCTCGAGCCCCTCCCCAAGAGCAGTCTATCTTCCAGGATGCTCTTGCGAGGCTTCCAGGGCCCAATAACTTTGGAAGACGAAACGTCTTGGCGGGGTTTCTTTCCCCGTCCCTCCGTTTCTCTTCCCCCAGGGCCAAAGTTATGCAAGCAACGGCCGCGCACATTATGGTAATGAAGTGCCTGATGCCTGGACAGCTTCGTCCAAAGCAATGGTCTCAGCAAGGAACGAACAGACAGGATCGCACATAGAAGTTCCAGCGATGAAGGCAAGACTTCGCACCTGCGTCCCTTGCCTCTCCTCTCCTGTGCCCTTGCCTCCCCCGTCCCTCTCCTCTGCCCTTGCCTCCCCTCTCCTGCCTGCCTGCCTGGCAGGCGGCCCCCGTCCGCAACATCAGCCAGGCACCCATCGCGGCTGGGGGGTGCGTGTCGTTCTGCTGTGTATCTGCCACCGCCACGGGGAGGATGCTTGGAGGCATGCAGTCGTGCGACGAAATCTATAGATGTCCAGTGTTCCCTGGCCAGGCCAATCCTGAGACCCCCGGCGTTGTGTATTATACGCCCTCCTGGCCAGGCCAGGAGGGCGTAGCGCATGCACCGCTGCTGGTGCAGATTCCGTCGCCTCCTCGTCCTCCTCCTCCCCCTCCTCCTCCTCCTCCTTCTCCTCCTGCTCCTCCTCCTCCTCCTCCTCCTCCTCCTCCTCCTCTCCTCCTCCTCCTCCTCCTCCTCCTCCTCCTCCTCCTCCTCCTCCTCCTCCTCCTCCTCCCCCTCCCTCTCCCCCTCCCCCTCCCCCCCTCCTTTTCCTCCTCCTCCTCCTCCGCCTCCTTCTCCTCAGGCTCAATCCTTGGGAGGGTTTCAGGTACACGCACGCTGCCACCATCCGGGTCCGTACTGCGTGAAAAATGGCAGTAGCACCGTGTAGACTACCCCCGCCCAAAAGAGGAACAAACGCGGAGATGTAAGGAGAACCGAAGCATCACAAGGGCGGCAAGGGAAAAGGACAAAACAAATGTATACAGAAGGGACCAGCGCCAAGGCGGCGGGCAGCCCGCCAGCGGCCGCGGCCGCGGCGACGGGAGGGAACAGCGAAGGCGGAGGCGGAGGGCGCAGACCCCCCCCCCGCCAGCCATATGCAGCGGAAAACTACGAGGAGTTCGACCTCAGAGGGTGTATCGACGGACTCCAGCGACTGGCCGTCCGCTCGGCGGCAGCAAAGATCAGTGATATGAGCCACACGACATCGGACTTCGACCTCATACCAGTCAACCGTTGGGCCTTTTCGGAAGTCGGTGGCAGCGGGGCAGAACTACGGGAACCAGGCCAGGGAGAAGGACAAGGGACACAATATGGGACCACCAGGCATTCACACGGGGATGGCGATCGTGGATGGCATCCAGGAGACGGTGCCGGATTAGCCAGAAAACATATCCAACAGCAATGTAAACACCAATAGATCGGGCACTGGACACCCTGAGTGACTTCCTGAATCTGATGGATGACAACAGCGAGCGCAGCCAGGCCATGATCACAGGGACGAGCAGGATGTGCAATGTCAGCGAGAGCTACAAGGCGCGCAACAACAAGAACAGGAACCCGAACCAGGACGAGCAGGAGTTTTGGGAGGAGGGCCCAGGCAATATCCATATCGACATTTCAGGGCGGTGCTCCCGAAGGACATGAAGGAAGAAACCATGGCGAAGCTGGACCAGTTCGCGGGCCACAACCTGAGGATGACAGTGTGGAGAGGCAAGAGGTTCCAGTCAGCAGCACCCAAGTCGGAGCTGGAGAGGATGGTGGAGCGGGAGCGTCAGCGTCGGCGCCGCCGAGGACCGAAGGGGTGGTTGCATTAGCGAGGTTATCTCGGAGCGTGGCACGCTGAGGAAAAAAAGGCAGTTGCATTAGCTTGGTTATCTCGATGTGCAGAGACCCCGGGGCAGAGTACCAGGCCGCGGCTGTCGCGGACAAGCGCATAATCTGCACCTCCGACTGCATCAGCATCAAGCAATGAGGGCGCCGCCCCAGGGGGGCCCCCCCCGCCCCCCGGGGGCAGTTGGGCATAGCTGGCGTGCCCAAAAGCGCAAAGGCAAAGAGGCAGAGACACCGCTCGGCATTATGCATGCTGCGCAGCGCGCGCACAATGTAGAGACGGGTCACGGTCAGTGGCGGCGTGTGCGCGTGTGGTGGTAGGGGGGGGGGGGGAGGGGGCCAGCATGCTAGGCGCCACGCGATGAACAGTGCAGAAGGGAACACACTACCACCTCCATCGATCATACTCGGATCCCACAGCTGATCTGGCTCAACGACGGCCTAGGTGCGCAGTGTTGCGCACTAACGGGTCTATTCGGAGTGCGAAGGCGGGGGGGGGGGGGGGGGGTCGCCCATGGCTTTCGCGGGCAGCAGCCAGCTATGGCCCTGCGGGCGCTGCAACAAGGGATTCAGGTATTGCAAGATGATCGGGGGCCGCAGTGGGCACGCAATACATGAACCTGGCAATGGAAAAGATTATGGACGCAAGGGCAGTCAACGGAAGAGAGCGCGCATCGATTGCGAGCTGAAGCTGAGGCAGCAGGAGTGGAAAGAATGGGGCGATGAAGAAAAGACGCTGCATGGGGGAGAGAACTATATAGCGAGAGAACAGGTCTGCTGGGAACAGAAGATGAAAGCAAACGGAGCCGCGCGGACAGCCCAAGCCTTGGGACAGACCACAGCAGCGCTCGCGCTCCTGGCGGAAGAAGGCCCCCCCCCCCAAAGAAAAGGAAGAGAAAAGAAGAAAGAAAATCAACAGCCACGCACTGCAGGGAGCAAATTGGCACTTGAAGATTAGTAGGAGATGGCAATGGCGCTGCTGGGGTGCATCGACAATAAATGGAGGCATCTTTGCAGCCTTCGGCAACGCAGGGGAACGCGTGGCTGAGGCCCCACGCTGCGCAGAGGAATGCGACATCCTGCTCAACGCAAGCATGGCAACGGACGCCAGTGGCGAAGGTGCGCCGAAGGCGGCGGGCCAAGAGTTGACGAAGAGTTGGAGAACATAAAAGAGAGCTGCACGATATGGGCGGCTACAGGGCGGCGAAGAACACGGGGGAGGAACAGTCGGCGCGCGTCGAGGCGCTGGACTTCGCGGACAAGTGGAGCGACGGCGCGCAGCTGTTCAACGCGTGCAGGGGGGGGGGGGGGGCGCAGGATGGGGCGCGAAGGGGGGCGGGGCCTGCTCGCGCGGGCTGGCACTCCCAAACAAGTTGTGGCGGAGAGGCCCTAGAGCCTATTCGAGGGGGGACATGTGGTTGTCCTGGCGCACGGTGGACCGGTCACGGCTCGTCAAGTCGCATGAGAGCCACCCCGAAGATGGGTTCATGAAAGAGTGGGCGGGCAAGATGAAGGGCGCATTCGGCGACGACTGCGAGGCGCGGCCAGACATCGGGTGCAAGTCGAAGTTGCTCCCGTGCAAGAGTGGGCCGTCAATGGTCGTTGATTTCAAGCTTGGAAATGGCTGGGGGGGGGGGGGGGGGGGGCGCTCGCAGTGGAACGGCTGCCGCGGCAGCTGGGCGACGCCGCCGAGGGGCGCCGCGGCCAGTTCTACGACGCTGCCCAGATAATCAGCCCAGAGTGGCCTTTCGATATGGCCCCTGCGTCCTTCCCGATGACGCGCGAGGTCAAAGGGTGCGATCTCGTCGCAAGGCGCCCTGTGGACGCGTGGGGGTGGGCAGGGAAGGGGGGCTTTACCGCGCAGCGCTGGTGAGAGCTGGCGGTGAATATTTCGAAGAACGACGTAGGGGATCTCCACGAAGTCATGGAGGTCGCCTCGAAGGAGCTGAGCAACGAGGACAATCTCGACCCAGAGGGAGTGAAGAGGCTCAAAGAGCACCAGGAGCTACGAGACAGCACGGGGGCCCTGCTGGATGAGGCCCGGGATCTCCCAGGGCAAGTTCGGCTACCCCAAGTCGGAGGAGACGACGACGACCAGCTCCTCCAGCGGCCGCCAGTGAGAGCACCCACTGGGGCCCATGTAAAAGCCAAGAGATGAATTTCGATGTTTTCTCGGAGTGCTACTCTGGGCAAGCTGGGCGAGCCCAGAGACAGCCAATATATGCATTCGCGAGGTTTTCCCGGGGGGCTGCTTTAGGCAAACAGGATGGGCAATCACGGAGTGCTCGCGTTGTCACCGCAATGGGAAGTATTTTTGGGGTGCCGACAGGTACATTATTGCAGGGTGTTGTATGGGGAAAATGATCATCGAGAAGTCCACCAGAGTGCATCCTCGGTGGCCCCACCAAAAACATTCCGCGTTTACAAGTATGCTCTACCCCGCATACACTTCGAGGGGGAACAGTGGGATACTACAACAGGGTGTCAAAGAACAGCTGCGAAACATCATGGAACAATTATCGGCGGATCGCGGTGAAAGAGAAGTGAGCCGAGCGGGAGAGGAGAGAATATAACAAAACCCGTAGGGTAACCAGGCCCCCCAGCAACAGTTTGGAGACATGGGCCCCCCGACCCTCCCCCCACCTCCTTTTTGAGTTGTCGTGTCGTCGTCTCCTCCCCCCTTGGTTGGGCGCCCTGCTAGGCCCGCGCGCCCCCCCCTTTAGGGCGCGCGGAAGGGCCAGCAGCTCCTCCCCCCGCACTGACCCGCAGGGATTCGCAATTGTAAGGTAGCGAGCCTCTGTCACGGGACCACTTCGGAGCTCATTCCTTGAGCGACGTGGTATGCCCCCTGCCGGCCCAAGTGAGAAGGCATGGCCGTTGCACAACCAATCGCAGGGGATTTTGTCAGAAGCGCGCAAGGCACCCGCATAGGTGTTTTGACGTTGAACCCCCTTTACGCGGATGTCCTGGGTCCTGTCCTCGTCCTCCTCCTCCTCGTCCTCCGCCTCCTCCGCCTCCTCCTCAGATTCCGTCGCCCTGTGCAAAGAGGGGCTGGGGGACCTTGACCCCTTCCAATGATCCCTCTTCCTTAGAAAGGCCACGCCCCTCAACCAACCCCCTTGTGCGCGCTACCTGGAGAAGGAGGAGCCCGCACCTCCGCAGTCCCGGGGGGATCGAGGTGGCCCGGTTGTCAAAGCTTCGGTCTTCTGGAGGCCAGTTCGAGCCCCAGGATATTCGCAAGTCCTCGACGCTTCGCGTATCCCCACCAGCCCATCCAGAGACCATCGCCAGGTGACTTGTTTCGACCAGGGACGTGACAGCCGCCTTAGAAGCGTGTCGGGGGCGCCGAAGCGGCGGAAACTGTTGCCGAGTCATTCAACACACGCTCTCATGCCACGGCGGCTTCATTGGATTATTCTGGAGGCCCTCTTGCAGTTATCTTGGAACCCTCTCGGGGCGGAGGGTCTCTACTTTTGACAATCGGAGCAGGAACGAAGAACATAACACGGGGGGAAAAGGGAGAGGGAGGAGGAGGAGGAGGTGGAGGAGGAAGAGGAGGAGGGAGAGGAGGAGGAGGAGGAGGACGAGGAGGAGGAAGAAGATGAAACCAGGGGAAGGATGACGGAGGAAGAAGGAGACGATGATTAAGGCGACGACGACAACGACGAGTCAACCATAAAGCCTTCGCGGAGTATTCGCTCCGCGAGCATCTTTAAAGCGTATTGGAGGCTAGATGGAACCATTTCGGAGCCATTTTGGAAGTTTTTGTGTTGGCTTTCTTGGGGCTCGTTGAGGGCGCCTGGAGGCTTCATAGTGCCTGCACTTGCGAGCCTCTCCAGCCGCGTTTGACACGCGTTGGATGGGCCTCGCGTCTTCCCTCTCCTTTCCCTCCTCGTCCCCTCTTCCTCCGCCTCCTCTTCCTTCCAGCGGAGGAAGGAGGGAAGCTGCAGGAGGACGACATCTGAGCAGGACTGGGAGGCCCACGATTCCGGCCCGTCTCACGGCGACTTATGGCCCCAAGAAGAGCCGCCGACTTGTTCCTCCAGGTCTTGGGGGGTTCTCGAGGTCGTCTGACCTGACGTCTGGGCTGTTCCTCGCCGTGACGTCTGATTGGGTTGCGCTGGGGTGAGTTTGTTTCGACGCTTGCCGATGGCTGTGTTGTTCAACGAGGGAGTGCATAGACGGGCTTTTTGGGCGCTCTCAGGCGCTCGGGCCTCTTGAGGCCGTCTTGGGGCCCTCTTGTGCCCTTATTGGGGCTCTCTTGGGCCGTCTAGGGCCATCATGAGGCGTCTAAATCTCATCTGAAGCCAAATGACGAGAGGGTCCAAGTCATTGATTCTCGTTCTGTTGTTAAAGAATATGGCCTTTTGGAGGGTGCTCCGGAAGCCTCGGAGAGCATTTGGAATCGTCTTAGCTTGGTCTTGGAGCTTCTTGGAGGTATGTCGCAAGCTAGTTTGAGCCATCGGGAGTTGCCTTGAGTCATCTTGGAGGCCATCTTGCAGCATCTGAGGCGCTCTTAGAGCCATCTTGGATCAAAAAGGGATCTGACACCTCGTCCCCCCGTCCAGGCCCAGGGGAGCGGGGTGGGGGAGGGGTACGCCGCCCCCCGCCCCCCGAGCAGGGGAAAGAGGGGTCTTGGAAGAGGGTAGAAAGCAACTCGTCATACCACCTTCGCCCAGAGGGCTGGTGGAATTCGGTGTATGTGTGTATGCGCACACACAGGCGTATCTGTACATATCAGCATATATGTATGTATACGCATCTTATTGCGTTATTGCAATGGGGGTGGTGGTACGCTGCTGGTGGGCAGATGTTGGCCAACGGTGAAGACATGTTGCTGACAGGTTAAGGCCAAGGACATGTTGCTTGCTTGGTCAGGCCAGAAGGGCTATTATGCTGTGCTGGCTGTGTATGACCAGGGTGGTCAGGAGATGTTGCTGGCAGTTCTTCACCAGGGGTGAAGTTTGCGGTCAACGGGTTGGGACCATGTGTTGTTGGCATTTGCCTATGGGGGCGAAAATAATGTGGTAGCAGTTTTGTGCCAGGGGTGTTGAGGATGTTTTGTCGGCAGCTTGAGGGTAGGGGGGTACGGATATGTAAGAAGGAGTCTTCGGCACATTGTTCATATTCTGGGGCTCACGTCAGGGGGGTAGGATATGCCGATGTCAGTGTTGTAGTAGGCGGTGGTATCGTTCTAAGCAGTGTGACGCACGGCGGCGATGATACTGCGCTGGCATGTTTCAGACATGTGGGTGAGGATATTTCGCTGGCAGTTGTCTGCCGAGAGTAGGAAGTAGATGTTGGCCATGGTAGGCCACCGGGTGAGGATATATGGAGCACCCTGTTAACATCAGTTTGGACTTCCGCTGGATTTGCGAAACCGATGGTCAGTCATCAAGCTGGCGGCAAACTGTGACTATGGGCGTGAAGATATTTCGTTGGCAGGCTTATGCCATGGACTGACTTCTTATTACCAGGGCCGATGACTTTTGACTAATGATCGGCCGAGGCATGAGGATGGCTGGATGGCTGCGTCTTGCGGATGTGTTGCTGGCAGTTCTAGGCCAGGGGGTGGTGATATGTTGCTCATCTTTTTATGCGACGGTGAGTGATGAAAGCTTGCTGGTATTGGTTGGGCCTGTCACAAGCCGAGTTATGTTACATTGCTTCCAGCTCCAATCTCGAGCGCTCAGGAACTTTAGCTGGCAGTTCTCGGCCAAGGGGGTGAGGGTAGTACTTGATTGGCCGTTTTTGATCAACGGGTTGCGGATGGTGCGCTGGCATTTCTAGGCCAGGTGGTGAGGATCTCAGGATGTCAGTTTTGGCCTGGGAGTGTTGAGATGTTTTGTTAGCAGTTTTAGGCCTAGGGGTAATTTGGGAGGTGGGGCTTTTGACCAAAGGTTAGGACAGGGATGCCAGGATCTTCTGTTGGTAGTTTATCAGCCGGTTGGAATGTTTGCTGGCAGATTCAAGCAAGTTGGACATGCTATTTTGTTGGTAGTTTTGGCAATACGGGCGAGGATAGTTCGCTGGCAGTTTTATCCCCATGTGGGTTGGGATCTGGTTGTTTATTTGACCATGGGGTGAGGATATGCGGACAGCGCTTTTCGGATGATTTAGGATATTAGCCGATGCTGCCCAACTGGCCAGGCATCAAGCGCGTTGCTACGCCTGTCTGTTTGACCGCTCCTTGTTCTGGAGCTTGTTGGGGGCCTGGGGGCGAGATTTCTGGCGATCGAGGCTCAAGTTGAGTGCGACGGCAGCTTGATTATCTCGTTGTATTTAGAAGGTTTCCCAAATGCCAGAACTGTCCAATGCTTACAGGTGTCGCGACCTAACATGTCAGAACGTGCCGCCTGGAGCCCAGGCATCATCATCAGTTCATGGCCTTAGTGCCGAGTTCGAGCTGAAAGACAAGAGAGAGAGGCTGGATAGGAGTACGCCGCCATGTTGTGGCCGACTTTCGGAGACGCGGTGGTTTCCATATCTTGTTTCAGCGCGTCGGCGACAGTGCTTGCACTGGCACGGATGTTGTTAGCTGTGAGTCCTGGTCGCATGCTTGTCGTCCACATGTCCAAGTGCCCCGATGTTGTAGGATCAATGCTTCTCGTCGTTGTTCTACCTCGCCCCGGCACTGCCTCAGATATCATTTGTGCTTCAGTTACCATCCTGGCCCGAATGAGGTATCGAACATCACTGGCCTGCAGGCCAACTCATCGCAAACTTCTAGCCACCAAGCCAGCGAGGCGCGTCTGAACAGGAAGAGGCAGACAGGCATATGTATGAGTGGTGCCACGGGCGAGCATGGGCATCGGATTGCCAGAGGCACATGCGTATTACATGTATTGGAGGACAGAAGAGTATTGTGGGCAGGCCACGCGCCACATAGACAAGCAGGCATTCGGCAGTGATGCGGATTGCACAGGGAGCCGCACTACATGAGCTGAGGGAAAGAAGAACGACGAGGTGGGTTAGGAGGAGCAAGATGGGGGGAGTAGGAACACGAGGAAGACGGGTAGGATTACTTGGGGGCAGGATGGCACAACGCAAGCGTGTGGACGATGGGCATGTAAGGGGAGAACACGGGGCAACACACTGAGCAGGCGGGTTAGGGATGGCGGTTCGCGAGAGGGTGCTCGCCAGGATATCGGTTTCGTTGATCTCTTCCCCCTTAGTTTTTCGCGTTACTGCCATACTCCTCCCGTGAGACTTCGTGCCACAAGGCGACGCCGCTGCCAGTTGACTCAATGATCACGCATCGCCTTTTGACGCGGTCGCCGCGCCCGCGATTAGGGACACACGTTGGTATCCGCTGGACGTCATCGTAATTGTGGCACGTTCTTCGTGCTCATGACATGTGCGTGTGTGTGTGCTTTTACTGGGGGCAGCCTGCTCGCCACGCACAGTGTTCCGAGGGCGCTCGAACTGGCGGCGCCTTGCGACGGGAAGGCGTCGGCCAGCAATCGAGCGTTGGTCGGCGAGCCTGGCCCCGCAGGCAGGATGCACGCCGGGCGGGATCGAGTGCATGCGCCGGGGCCCGCTCATTGCCGGCGCGGGCCCTGCTACAGGCCAGTGGCACCGGTCAGCCAGTCATTGAGCAGGGACCGACCGTCCCGGCATTCTGATAGTCCTGCCACGAAATGTGCTTGTAGAACCCAAAGATGTTCTGAGAACAAAGACAAGAATCTTAGAACATAAAACCCGATGTGTTAGAACAAGACAGTCCCCGCCAGACATGTTCTGAGAGCACGTCGTGGGAACCTCGAAGGGTTCTTAGAGCATTGTTCTGTCGGGCTGCAGGCGCGCCCGGACGCTTCGCCACTGCTCGAAGTCAAGGAGGGGGTGGAGAGAGGTGGTTGAGGAGGTGGAGGGCCCACACACCCCGTGAGCACACGGTGCCTCCCGCCAGCCCTGCCCTCGCCTCCGCCTGGCGAGGCGTGGCGGAGGCGCATCGAGGCCGGGGCCGAGCCCGGGAGCGTCGAGCGGTCCTTCGTGGCCTCCCTCGGCGAGCAGATCGAAGAGGTCACGCGCGGCGATGAGGAGCAGGAGGTCATGATAGTAATACGTTCCAGGATTCACCAACCTCCAGGCTGTCCCATATCTCCTCAAGTTCCGCACAGGCTCCGCCGCTGGATACTCCTAGAAATCCTGGAACGTGTCCTGAGCCAATCTTCATGAAGTCATTCCCCGATCAGAGCTTGCCTCTGTAAGGGTCCTATAGCGGATTCATATGGTGAGGTTCGGTTTGCCGCCGATTTTCGCCGCACGCCCAGGTGCCCCGGGGCCCGGGGGTGACCGGGTGCCCGGGTGCCCGGGTGCCCGGGTGCCCGGGTGCCGGGGCGCCCAGGTGCCCGGGTGCCCAGGTGCCTGGTAGCTCTATTTATAGCCAAATAGCCCTGTAGCCCTGTAGCCCTAATAGCCCCATAGCCTTATAGTTTTATAGCCCTATAGCCCTATAGCCCTATAGCCCTATAACCCTACAGCCCCATAACCCTACAGCCCAGTAGCCCGATAGCCCTGTAGCCCTATAGCCCCACAGCATTCTAGCCCTATAGCCTTATAGCCCCATAGCATCGCCCTAAAGCCCTAGAAATACTATGATTGGAGTTTGTCTCCGCTTTCATTATTTCCTTTAGCTCTTGGGAGGTCTTCGCGAGAACAAGATCCGTAAGGGCTTCGCCCTCTGCCGTAGGCCCCACCTATATCGTAATGGGATGTGCCAGAGCTGTGTTGGGTTGCCTGGGCGCCGGCTTGAAACAATATTGGAACCTCATGCGAGGACGGCTGGTAACCGTGACGTCATGTACAAGGGATCGTGGCCTCGGGGGCGCGAACATGGTGTAGTGTAGGAGGATTCTGGCTTCGGGTGTGCGAATCTTCAACACTTTGCCAAAGATCGTTGCCGCGGGCACGCGAATCTGAGAATCTGAAGTAATGTACCAGGGATCGTGGCGTCGGGGGCGTGACTGTGGTGTAATTGACTAAGGATCGCTGCTACGGGGACGCAGGTCTGGAGCGATTTGGAAGAGGTCGTGGCCTCAGGAGCGCGAACGCATCGTAATTCACAAGGGATCGTAGCCCCGCGGGCGCGAATCGTGGATAAGTTGCGACGGATCGTGGCGTCGGGTTCGCGAGAGAAGCTTAATGTTTCGGCCGCGGGGGCGCGAACGCGGTGTGTGTGTGTGTGTGTGTTGTGTGTGGTGGGGGGGAGGGGCAGGGTGGTTTCCCCTTTCCCCCCCCTCCGTGGACAGGAACGATCTACAGTCGGAAACAGGAGCTCGAACTATCACATTGTAAATTTGAAAATTGTATCGGCGCAGGCTGCAGGAAACATCGGCCGCGCAGCCTGGTGTCCCCCAAGGAGGCCGCAGGATTATGCAATTTTACAGGGCTGCTGCCAGCGTGGGCCAGACTGCGCCCTGGGCTGAAGCGGGATTCGGTCAGATTAAATTGGACTTCGACCAAGGGCGTAAGAGCGCCCAGGCTTTCCTCAACCTCCCGCGATTTGGCATCCTGAGTTGCGGTCGCTTGAGACCGCTGCCATACTTGGCCGCACGACGGAACTAGTTCCTTGGCATTGCTCGGACGTGCGCCTTTTTTCCCGAGGGCCATCGAGGAGCCGCCTTGGATCATCTTGCGAGAACGCACGAGGCCGAAACCATGCACGGGGAGTTTTGCGGACGAAGGGCGGTATGACATACGTTTGTCCGCCGTCGAGGACGCCTTCCCCAGGGCGGCTGGACAGTTTTTACCCTGGCGTGCTACTGTATCGGGGGAAGGACGATCGACACCAACACGACTAGGGGGCCACCTCCAGCGAGGAGGTCCACGATGCCTCTCCGAGCTGGGGATAGGGGGTGTCTCGAGCGAGCGGGGGGACCACACCGCTATGGAGGCCCTTCCCTGGCCCCTCCCGCTGGTGGTCCCTGGTGGTGCAGGCGTCGCTCTTCCATGCTCCCAACTGTAGGGGTACAGGCTGTCCAGCCGCCCGGGGGGGCAGGAGCCCCCGGCGGCGGAACATGTTTTGCTATCCCGCCCTTCGTCCCCTGAAAGATGGACCCCCGATCGATGGTAAGGTCCCGACCCGCAGGCAGGAGCGCCGCCCCCAGGGCGGAAAGAGAGAGAGAGAGATCTGGCTGGGGGGGGGGGGGGGGCGGGGGCCCGGGCGCCAAGCCCTGGGCGGCTCCCCCCCGCCCACCCAGAAAGCGGGAGGCGGGCGAGGGGGGGGGGAAATGCGAGGCGGTGGGCCTTTTCAGAATGCTCGGAGGTCCCCGAGCCGTCTGAGAAGTGTTCTAAGCCTTCCCCGAAGACCCCAAAATTAATCGTCGATTCCCCAGAAAACAAGGGAAAATATGGGAAGCGGGGGGGACGACAAAAAACAAGAATATGAGAAAATATGGGGAATCTTTTTAACTGTGTGTATTTACTTGTGTGTGTGTGTCCTGGGGCCCCTTCACGAAAGGCCTCTCAGAAGGCCCGAGGGCTTCTGAGAAGTCCCGCCGTCCCCGCGGGCCTCCAGGGGCCCTCGCCGTCGCCGCCGATGGGTGATTCCGCAGGCGGACCCGGGGGCTGCATTCCCCATCGGCCAGGCCTGGTTGACCCCAGAACCCGCCCGCCAGCCTGCAGCCCCGGCTGCGTTCTGAACCGCGCGGCGTGTGAGGAGGGGGAGCAGATACAGGCCGCGTGGTATGTGAGGAGGGGGAGCAGATATAGGAGGAGGGGGAGGAGGAGGGGGAGGATGATGAGGAGGAGGAGGAGAGAGAGAAAGAGAAAGAGGAGCAGGAACTATCCTGGTTTGTTTATTTTACAAGTCCCTTGGAGGGCCTTCGCCGCCACGGCTGGACTCGCCCCCCAAAATTCTGGGCGGGACGCACCCTGGGAGAGGTCGGAGGTGTAAGGCCTGGAGGGCAGACCTGTGGTCGACGGGGGAAAGACCACACGAGGAGCGTTCTGGGGCCAAACATTCGGCCACAGAAAAAAACACTACAAATCCCAGAATACAGAAACAAACGACAACAATAATTACAACAAACAGAAAGACAAGCAGGACAGGAAACCCCCGACGACAGTCAAGAAAATACGCACAGTTTTTTGGGGGCCCGAGGACGTGAAAAGATCTTGACCGGCCTCGGGGATGGGGTCTGGAGCTTCGGTCGGCGTTGCGTAAGAGTGACCTTTCGCCGGAGTGACCTGGGGTGCGGGCGCCTTAGGGCCCCCACATGGCTGAATGAGATGCGATGGCAGCGGCCAGCGCGCTCCAGTTTGGCCTCCCCGCGGCCCCCGAAAGTCGCGCACCAAAGTTCACTCTTGCCCAGGTTCACTTCACTCTTGCGTGCAGCTGGATTTTCGGGGTTGTGTCACGAAGTTGGATGTCTGGGAATGGGGCGACCATCGACGACACCTCATCAGGCTGGTCGAAACCCCATCAGCCAACGGATTATGCCACAAACCTGAGCCTACCCACACGCCACCCCCGTGGGTCCAGCCTGCATCGGGAACTTAGGTCATTTACAAGCCTCCAGAGGGTATTCGACACACACCGGGTCACCCGGTGGGTCGGGCTTGCTGGGCGTGGCGCTTTGGTGCATCAGCTTCGGCCACCCCTTCGCTGACATGAGTCGCCACCCGCGCTGAGATCAGGGGTGGTCTCCTTCGATGGCCACCTACACCAAGACCCTAGCTGAATATCCACCGGTGGGGGTGACCCGATCTTGGTGGTGGTGTCAACAGATGGGTTCCCATGCGGGGACCAGGCGCACAGCTCACCCATTCATGGCGGGGACCCGGCGCGGGCGCACCGGACGCCTCCGGGAGCTGGGTCGACGGAGGGGGCCAGGTTCTTTCGGATAGGCGGGGTGGCCACCGCTCTCGCCACATGATCATCGTGATGTTGTCGGCGCAGCATGTCTGCGCTACCTGACTTCCATTCAGCCTTTGGGCCCCCCAGAAGAGGATGCTGCAGGCAGCGGGTTGAGCTTACTCGTCGTCCCACTCAGGAGCCGCCGCAGGTGCCACATTGCCGATGGCGACCGACTGAGCTCTTGGCTCGCAGGCGTCTCTGCCGTCAGGCATCCGAGCTTTTCGGCACCCTTTCATACGCATGCAATGTGCGTTCAAGGGCTATCGAGTTGATCCATGTTCCATGGTATCCCCTCTGCAGGAGCTGCTGCTCGAGCTGCACTCGAGCGACACTGCCGCACTCCGCAGCAAGGTCTTGCTCACAGTCGTGGAGATGGCCCGCCCTCGCTGCCGCCTGCCTCCTCGGGTCCACCGCTCAGAGTCTGTTGCATCTCCCACGCCCCGTCCTGCCTTACCCACGCTCTTCGTGCCTTCCTCGTCCGCCTCCGCCTTCAATAACCGAGGGGTAGGCGGCTGTGTGCTGCGGTTCGTGCTATTGCATCGCCTCACGTTTCTGAGACTTGCCCACGTCGGTGGCGCGCAGGGTGCAAACAGGTGTGACGTGTCACTTCAGATGCCTTGCCTGCGCCCAGGGTTACGGTGCCCGGCGATCGTGCTCGCGGTGTGCTGAGGGAGGGGGTGATTTGGGAGATGGACGAGCGCTGCCCGAGATGCACGAGGGCCCGAAAACACTAGGAACAAGGACGTCGCCCCGAGGGAGATGGATGAAGGCCCGTTGGTTGGAGGCGCCGTTGTGGAGGAATCTACTCGTGCTCAGAAACACGCGATGGGCCTTCGCTGCTTGTCTGACCTGTCGAGCTCGCCCAGGCGTGTCGGCGCTCGCCTGCAGCTGTACCTGTCGAGAGGGATCGAGAAGGCTCGCGCGAGATCATGTACGTCGTGGCGCCAGGTGTATAGCAGCGTAAGACGTGCCCGTGCGCTGAGAAGGCGCTTCAGCTCGGCCACGTCGTTCTGACCCTTCTCCCTCACCGCTCCTCCTCTTCCTCCCCCCATGCCCTCTGCTTGGTCCTGCTCCCGCTTCTTACCCCCACCGCTGCTCCGACGGACAGCCCCGTCTCCGTCGTTTCGCTCGGGTCGGGACCGGGGGCGCTGGGATCGGCTCGGCAGGCTGGGGTCAGAGCGCAGTTCGGGCCGGGCGGGTCCGGTTCACGCAGCGACTCGCGTCGGTTGGTTCAGCTCTTCGGTCGACACGTTAGGTGTGCGCCGCGTTGACACGGCTGCGACCCCAGCGCGGGCGTTCTAGGGTAACGCCGCCAGTGGCCCATACTCGGCCGATGTCGGGCGATTTGGGCTATCGGAGAGCCGGGACCAAGTTTGAACGAACCACGCGGCACCAGAAACCATCGCCCGCGACATCGCGACGCGAACCAGCCGTACGCCTGGCCTTACCAGGGTCATCGGGAATAAGAGAACCCCGTAATGCTAGTAACACAACGAAGACGTAACCTAATTGAGGTCTCCGTGCTTGCATTAGGGACACTAGCTCTGGGTGGCCTGGTTTGATACAGTTGCAGATAAGACCCCGCATGCCCCTAATGTTCGGGGCGACCTAACTCAGCTCCGTTTCCCAAGGGTTTGGGCTTTTTCATTGCTTATCGGCGGGGTGTCCGAAGGGCGGCGTGGCAGGGGACGGCGCGGGGTGCCCGAGCGACGCTTTTGTCCTTGCGGCTGCCGTCCTCCGCGTTCCCCCTCCCCGCCGCCCCGCCCTCTCGCGGGAGCCCCTGTCTTACGGTCTGGTGATGCTGATGCTGATGCTGATGCTGATGCTGATGCTGATGATGATGCTGCTGATGCTGATGCTGATGCTGATGCTGACGTTGATGATGATGCTGGTTATGATGCTGATGCTGATGATGATGATGCTGATGCTGATTGCGATGATGACGCTGATGATTATGATGTTGATGCTGATGCTGATGATGCTGCTGATGATGATGCTGGTGATGCTGGCAATGTTGTTGATGCTCATGATGATGCTGATGATGGTAATGCTTATGAAGGTGATGATGCTGCTGATGACTATGATGATGCCGATGATTATGATGCTGATGATGATGCTGGTGATGCTGATGCTGATGATGATGCTGATGAGTATGATGGTGACTATGCTGATTATGATGATGATGATGATGATACTGATGATGTTGATAACGATAATGATAATGATAATGATGATGATGATGATGATGATGATGATGATGATGATGATGTTGACGATGCTGATGATGCTGATGCTGGTTATGCTGATGATTATGATGGTGCCGCTGATGATGCTGCTGATGCTGATGGCGAGGATGATGCTGATGCTGATGCTGATGATGATGATCATTATGATGATGATCATGATTATGATGCTGCTGATGATGATGATGATGATGATGATGATGATGATGATGATGATGATGATGATGATGATCGGCAACCTTCCCGAAGGGTTCCCTTGCAGCCTTGCCTCTTCGGTCCATTATGAACCACTCTCGATGGCCAGCCCTGCTCGAAACGCTGCGACAGGGGCGTCCTCAGCGCGCATCCTTGCTATCATGATTGGCTTGAGTGTGGCGCTCCGCCGGTCCTGGTCCACCACGCTTTGGAGCGACGATGATGGTGGTGGTGACCATGATGATGATGATGATGATGATGATGATGATGATGATGATGATGATGATGATGATGATGATGATGATGATGATGATGATGATGATGGTGATGGTGATGGTGATGGTGGTGATGATGATGATGATGATGATGATGATGATGATGATGATGATGGTGATGGTGATGGTGATGGTGATGGTGATGGTGATGGTGATGGTGATGGTGATGGTGCTGATGATGCTGATGCTGATGATGCTGATGCTGACCTCGATGATACGTGTCAGCCACTTCGGCCCCCACGCGCCAACGCCCCGAGCTCTCCCGAGAGCCTCTCGCCCCGCGGAGCGGAAGACGACACGCCGCTGCGGCGTGCCAGGGGCGACCGGGTCGCCGGGGCCGCCGGGGCGGCACGCCGAGAACAGGCTCCCGACCGTCCTAGTAAGTCGGGCGCGTCCCCCTACAGGGGGATTTCCGACGAAGAATAAAGAATGCCCCAAAAATGCACCAAAAAGGCCAAAACATATTCACAAAATAGTCCCCTGATGATTGTTTGACTATTTGGGTTTTTTTTTCTTTTGCGTCGAAAATCCCCCTGTAGGGGGACAGGCCCGACTTGACCGTAATAGAGGGCGTGGGGGCCAGTCTCAAGCAGTGGCAGAGCGTCCTGGCGTGCCTATAGCCCTACCAGACAATGTTCTAAGATGTTTTTGGATGTCGCTTGGGGCACCGGCGGCCAGACGTCCAGTTGCAACAGGCTGCGCGAGGACACTTTGTGCGGTGGCGGCCCTGTCGGTTGGGGAGAACCAGATTCTGACACGAGTTCCATGGGAGGTGGAAGTGGCGCCAGGTCCTAAGGGACTCCTACTGAATGTGGATGGGCTCCAGCAGGAATGAAGCATGCCCCAAGCCCAGGGGATCACCAGTGGGTTCGAATCGGATTCGAATCGGGTCTCAGTAGAAACCGACCAGATCCCAGATACAAAGAATTTCCATGGACCCGATACGATTCTGATAGATTTTCAAGAAGAAAACAGCAGATACCATATCCAGATGATGCATCTTGAATTTGGATCGGATCTCCTTGCAACCCCAATCAAATCTGAGCAGATCCTAGATCTTGGATTATATCGGGCGCGTCCCCCTACAAGGGGATTTTCAACGAAAAACTAGAAATATTCCAAACATACACCAAAAAGGTCAAAACATACTCAAGAAATAGTTCCCAGGCTATTGTTGGATTATTATTTGATTATTTTTGGCGTACTTTTTATTGTTCGGCGAAAATCCCCTTGTAGGGGGACAGGCCCGACTTAAATCTAGGAGGAGGAGGAGGAGGAGGAGGAGGAGGAGGAGGAGGAGGAGGAGGAGGGGGAGGAGGACGAGGACGAGGAGGAGGAGCATGAGCGCAGGAGTAGAGCAGGAGCAAGCAGGGGCAGGGGGCACGGACGGGCAGGGACGAAGGAGGGGAAAAGGAGGGGCTGCGCAGGCCTCGCGGGGGCTCCAGCGGGGAGCCGTCTCGCGAGCCCGCCTCGGGCGGCCTCGCAGGATGATGTCCCTCCCAGAAGCAATGCAGGGGGGCCTTCTCTGAAGGCAGGAGAGAGAGAGAGAGAGAGACAGAGAGAGATAGAGAGAACACAACAGAAAAAAAACAAATAAAGAGAGAGAGAGAGAGATATAATACAACTAAACAAACAAACAAACAAACAGACAAACAAACAAACAAACAAACAAACAAACAAACAACCAAGAACAAGTAACTCGGGGGACTGTCTGCGTGCAACCCACAGCCTGACACCGATGACAGGGAGCCGTCCGTCGCAGCTTCTCTTGGTGCGACGCCGGGTGGTCTGGTGACCTGCCCTGCCGCAGTGTTTCGTGCTCGGGCCCTCCCCCTGGCAGCCGGGGCGTGCATTATAGTTTGCGGGTGTGGCGTGGGCTTCGCGGACCTCTCGACGCCGTGCCTGCAAGGAGGAAGAGCCACCACGGCCCCCGACAGCGGGCGCGTGCGGAGCGCAAAAGACGTCCCGTCCTGCTCCTGTGGGCCCACCATGCAACATGATATAGATGCGATTGTTTTCTGCTACTTGCGCGACACGAGTTCACGACATGCCTGGCTGATAGTTTTTGTTTTACACCTCCTCGTGTTCTGAGAAGGCAGGAGGAGGAGGAGAGGAAGATGATGATGAGGAGGAGGAGGAGGACGAGGAGGAGGAGGAGGACGAGGAGGAGGAGGAGGAGGAGGAGGAATACTTAGACCTGCAGGAATACAGTCCTGCAGACCTGCCCCGTGTGCTCCCCTCCTCGAGGCGCGGTGGCCTGAGGGCCGCGGCCCCGACCCGGCCAGCGCGGGAGGCCCAGATAGCTCGAACGGAGCCGGCCGCCGCGCGAGGTCGGGGCCGGCGGGGGGGCACGGGCCCCCGCGGCGGAGGGGTCGAGGCGGGGCGGTGGGCTCGGGGCCTCGGCCCACTTTAGGGGGCAGGGGCGCCCGCGAGGGCGCGGAGTTCTTCGCGCTTCGCGCTGCGCGCTTCGGCTCCACTTCCTCCCCGTCCTCCTCGTCTCCCCTGGGAGGCGGCGCGAGGGCGCGAAGTGGTTCGCACTTCGCGCCTCGCGCAGCGCGAAGCGCGACGTTGGGAGCCCTTGTTTATGGGCACGGAAAGGGTGGGCACAAAGACCGACAGCAGTTCTGGTTCATTTAAAACCATATTCGCTGTCGGCGTCGCCGCGGATTGTGCCCATTTGAGACAGAAGGCCGCCTGCCAAACAGCGGCCGCTGTTGCTTCGGAACAACATTTGCTGTTGGGCATTGTGCCCATTGTTTCCGTGCCCATTTCGGGCGTTCAAACTTTAGGGGGGGGAGGGGCGAGGGCCGGCGTAGGTCCGCGGTCAGTGAGCGGGGGGTGGAGGGGGCCACGCGCCAGAGGGGTCCGAAGGGGTCGGCGGGTCGGGTCACGCACCCGCTCGGGTGTCGCCAGAAGTGCCCCTGGACCAAGGTGCCCCCGGGATGTTCGAGGAGGCCCCCGCGGCCTGCAGAGCACCCCTGGCGAGGCCATGGGGGCCCCAGGGGCTCCAAAATGGAGCGGAAATCTGGGGGCACCTTGGGCCAGGGGCGCTTCTAGCAACACCCGACCCGCTGCGGCCGTCCGCGCCGCCCTCGCGCCCAGCTCGGCTTCGGCATCTGCGGCGTGGACCGGTGCCTGATGGGCCAGGGCTGCCTCGGCGTCCTCAAGGCAAGGCTCCGCCGCTCGGGCCTGCCGGTCCTCCCAGACTCAAGCATCGGGACGATCGAAATGGGTACGGAAAGAGTGTGTGCGATGTCCAACAGCAGTTCCTCTTCATTTTAAGCAGGATTCGCTGTTCGCGCCGCCGCGGAAGTTGTTTTTTAAGTCAAAAAGCTGCTTGCCGTGCAGTGGCCGCTGTCAGTTTTGGACAGCACTTGTTGCTGGGCAGTGTGCCTTCTTTTTCCGTACCCATTTCGGGCGTCCAAGAAGTAGTGGCGAAGCGACCTGACTTGCTTGTAAGCCCACCAAATAATGTTCTCTTCGCGGTTTGCGCGACATGTTCTTGGGACATTTCTGGATGAGGTAGCCTTGGTGTAACACATCGGTTCTATGTGCCAAGAGCATAGTTGTTCTTGTGTTCTCAGAGCATGTCGCGGTCGGCCGAGAGGAGTGCCGAGACGGCCGGCCCTTGCTCAGAAGACAGCCCCTGGCGGCGTGGGAGAAGTCGCGGCCGGGCCCCTGGGCCGTGAGACAACGACTCGGGATGAACAAGCGCTCTTTCGAGGTGCAGTGGAGGCTCATGCCAGCAGAAACCCCGCTTGCCTCCAGGGTGCCCTGGGTGTCCTGGGTGTCGATGCTTCTGCCATGGAGAGCGCGATGCTCCCGCACCAACATCAATGGACGTCCTGGGGCCTCAGGGTGGGGCTCCTCGTGGACGGCTGCTCGTGGACGGGCCTCCGAGGTACAAGTTTGCGCGAGCAAACCGCGACGCGGGTGTGGGCGCACCTGCGCCTGCGGACCCCCCGGGCCTTCTCCCTTGGCATCGCTCGGACGTGTGCGTTTTTCCCTCGGCGAGGGCCATCGAGGAGCATCCTTGATGATTTGGCGAAAAAAAAACCACGCACGAAGCCGAAAACAAAGACAGGGAATGGACGTCCGAGCGATGGCCAGTCTCCAGGGCACCGGCAGCGAGCTGCGGTCGATGGAGGGAGTTTGCGGAGTCCTCCCTGAGGAGCCTCTCGTGCTGTCCTGGGGGGGCCATTCGGGGTCCAGCGCCCGTGTTGGGGGTCGTCTTGGATTGCCTTGGCGCCGACAGCTCGAACGGCTTGGAGCATCTCTTGGGCGGCTCAGTGGCCATCTTGAGGCTCCTGGAGATCCTTCCCGTGCTTTCTAGAGGCCGCCTTGGCTGGGAGGCCCAACCCAATGAGACGCGCAGAGACGTTTCTCCGCATCGCAATTAATTATACGAGGCTCTTGTTTTCTAGGGGTGCGTCACGCTCACATTCACTGTCCCCCTCGCCCTTAGGCCCTAGTCGTCAACCCCACACCCTAATTCTCGTGTCACTCTCACATGATATGTAAACTGCTACTACTGATCTTGAGTTGTGACGATGTCATTGGTTACGGCCGCATTCCTGAGTAAATTGAGAACAACTTGAGCTTCAGTGCCTCTCCAAGTTCGAGCGGCTTCTCCAAGACAATGTGCGTAATATGGAACCTCTGCTATCCACACATACTTTAAACAATGATCTCCCATTTGGGGGGAATCCGAGCGGCTGTGCAAAATCCCAGTGAACACAGTGATCGAAGGAAACTCCCTCTCACCCACAGTGGGGGAGTCCGTGAGGCACTCCCAGGCGAGCATGCGGACGAGGTTTCATAGATTTCCTTCCGGATCTCTTGGCGAGCTTCTGGACCCTCCATGGGCATGCCGCGGCCCCTTGCGGGGTCTCCTAGGGCTTCCTGGGGCCCCTCGGGACATCCGCAGGACCCTCGGGGCTTCGGGGACCCCCGTTGGTGCCTCCTGGGGCCCTCTGGAGCGTCCATGCTGGGCTTCGTGGACCCCCTTGGTGCCTCCTGCAGGCCCTCTGGAGCGTCCTGGCTGGGGCGTTCTGTGGCCTCCGATCGGCGTGCTTCCGAAACCCGGGGCCTCACGCAGGGAGCCTCCCGCGGCCTCCCGGGGCACCCTCGGACCCCTGAGGCCTGCCGAGAGGCTGCCCGGGGTCTCTTCCCGGGGGTCTCGGGAGCTGCAGGGCTCCTCTGGGCCATTCTGTGCCTGTGGCCTCCTGGGTGGTCGGGGGTGGACAGAACCCCCAACAGTGACACGTCGATTCGTGAATTGTCCGTTTGCGGTTCTCGAGAGGGCGCCCGTGCCGTTATCTTCCGGGCTTGCGTCCGCCCGGTCTGGGCCGCCGGTCGTTTTCACTAAACCACGTTTTACTAAAGGGAGGTCTGTCCATCCCCGAGGGTGGCACCTGCGTCCTACCGTTCGGCAACAGTTGCCAAGGCAAGGTGGACTGGCTGTGGTCTTACAGTGTCCCTGGGTGCGTGGCTGAGGCAGGCCTCCGTGGTGCGGAGTCTTGCTTGTGCGGCTGGTTCATACAGCATGGCAGTTGTCGTCTACCCCGCAGCGATGCACTTACCGAGCCACCCCCACCCAACCCGAAGTCCCTAGACCACCGCAAATGTTGGGTCGGGGGGTGTACGGGTTCCACCGTGTTTCCTCAATTTTCGTTGGAGTTCCCCCCCCCCCCCGCCAGGAATCGACGGGCCAACGGTGTTTTCGGGTTGGGCGGGGGTGGCTTGGTAGGTAGTCCCCCTCTCCTCCTCCCTCCCCTTCCTCCTTCCCCTCCCGCCTCCTGCTCCCTCCCCAGACATCCTGCTGCCGCAGTTCTCGCTGCGTGGGGCCCGGAGGTCTGGGCCACTTCCCTGGGGGCCGGCGTTTCGTCCGCCGTCGTTGGTTGACGGCCCCGAGGCCCGGCGAGGGCCTCTGGAGGCTGACAGCGGCCAAGTGCCCGCCGCTCCAATTTTGCCAAAGCGTGGAGGTTACGGGTCCCCTCCCTCCACCCTGGACGCTCTCGGACGTGTGCATGGTTCTCGGCAAGAGCCACAGCGAGGAGCATGGTGGATCTTTTTGCGACAGAGTACGCCCACGACGCCGAAGAGCGCACAGCGAACGGACGTCCGAGCGATGGCAAGCCTCGCTCCCAGTTCCCCGTTCCTCCTCCTCTTCCTCCTCCTCCTCCTCCTCCTCCTCCTCCTCCTCCTCCGCCCTCCTCCTCCTCCTCCTCCTCCACAATTACTCAATATGAATACTACTCTCCTCCTTCCCCTGATGACGTGCTGGGAGTGTTCGCCCCCCCCGCGTCCTGTTTTTTTACACAGGATTCCAGGGAGTTGGATTTTTCGCCTGCATTTTTTTCCAAAATGCTGCTCTCGCTGAGGCGCCGGCCTCATTTTCGGGCCCCGCTCGTTCCGAATCGTGCTCCCGCTGCAGCGTGGGTCTCATTTTCGGATCGGTGTTTTGCCTCCGTCGTTTAGGATGGCGTTCTCGCCCCAGCGCGGGCCTCTTTCTCGCGCGCCCATCCGCCCGCCACCACCGCACCGCGTCCCGCCCCGCCCACCGCCACTTCCACCCACCCACGCACGCACGCACGCACGCACGCGCACCGCCACCACCACCCCACTAACCCACCCACCACCACCACGCTACACCGCGTCACACCACATCACACGCGCGCGCACACAGACACACACGCACAGACGCACGCACGCACGCACGCACGCCCGCACGCACGCACGCACGCACACACAAACACACACACACACACACACACACACACACACACATATACACGCACACACACACACACACACGCACACACACACAACCACCACCACCGCCACCACCACCGCCATCACGCACGCACGCACCTGGCCCACCACCAAACCACCAAGACGCCACACCACGTCACACCACAGCACACGCGCACACGCGCACACGCGCACACACACATACACCCACCACCACCACCACCACCGCCACCACCACCACCACCACCACCACCACCACCACCACAACCACGCACACACGCACGCACGCACGCGCACTACCACCACCACCACCACCACCACCACCACCACCACCACCACCACACCACCACCACAACCACAACCACAACCACAACCACAACCATAACCATAACCACAACCACGCACACACGCACGCACGCACGCGCACCACCACCCACTACGCACGCGCGCGCGGAGCCACAGGTCCGCTACGACACGCGTCCGCGGATAGAGAAAATCAGCGCCATGGTAAGGGATGGGAGGGAGGGGTAGGACGTCAGATATGACGCGAGCGCACATAGCTTGTCCCCCTCCCCCTCCCCCTCCCCCTCCTCCTGCTCGCTCCTCCTCCGCCACCCGGACGGCGACGGTGTCTGCGGCGGCGGCGGCGCCGGGGAGGGCGTCACGGCGGGCGGCCTCCTCGTCTGGGCGCTGCTGGACTTCGTGCTGGTGGTCGCGTGCAGCCTCTCGTTCCTCCCCCCTCGGGGGGGGGGGGCCTCCCGCCGTGGCCTGCGGGCGGGAGCAGGAGCAGGTGGAGCTGGTTCGGGCGGGTTCACTTGTTGTTTTTCTTCCATCTGTTTTTCATGGTTGATTTCAAATGTGAAAGCTGTTTTCACCATCAAGTTTCAAAGGGGTGACGAACAGGGCCCTGCATGGAGCCTTTGGGGGGGCCCCTTCAGGGCACCTGCTGGCTCCCCAAGGGGGGCACCAACGGGCCCCCTGAGGGCCCTTTGCTTCACCCCCCAGTTGGGCCACCCCCCCATTAGCACCCGCCCGATCGGCGCTCAAGAGGCGGGTCAATACAAGCGAGGGGCAGTCAGAGCGCTGGATCTTGCAGGATCCTGCAGAGCCAGGGGTGCACTGGCCTGGGCTAACGTGCAGGATCCCGCAGGATCCTTCAGGATCTTGCAGGGTTCTGCAAGGCCTGACCGACCCGGTTTGGGACTGACCCAGGTCAGTCGATCCCCGATGGAGGGGTCGTGGGCGAAGAGGAGCAGGATGAGGAGCAGGAGGAGCAGGGGGAGGAGGAGCAGGAGGGAGAGCAGGAGCAGGAGGAGAGGTCGTTCCTCCCGGGGGGCCTCGTGCCGCGGTTTGCCAGCGGGAGCAGGATCGGCTGCACGCTAGTCAGCGAGAGAAGAGGTACCCCATACTGCCACGCTTCGCCCGCTTTCCCCTTGTTAGGCCTCCTGGGAGGCCCTCGTCGCCACCGCTGGCTTCGCCTCGAAATCCGGGTCGGAACGTGTACACGGGGAGAGGTCCGTGGAGTAGCGGCATCAGCACCTGTTGGTTTCCCCACGTGGGCGTTCGTGCCGCGGCTGGCCCGCGGGAGCAGGATCGACTAACCATTGGCCGGAGCGACTCGGGCCAGACGAAAGGGGGGGATTGGGAAAGGGGGGGTACGAAATCTGTTGCACGCAGCTGGTTTCGGCCCCGCCGAGGGGCCCATTCCTCGATATATAGCCGCCTCCAGCGCCTCGAGGCGCCGGGAAAATCAGCTACGTGAGTTGATTCTCAAAGCCCCCCTTTGCTATCTCCCCCTTTCGCCCTGCCCGAGCGACTTGTGGCGCGGACCCTTTGGGGGCTCCCGCGATCGCTGCGCACGATGCGATGGCAGCGGCCTGCGCGCTTGGATTTGGCCACCACGCGCCCCCATACAGTGAGCGGCTTGAATAAGGAACACTTGGTTTTCAAAAGGGGCTCGGTCGTTCCTTAGGCTTGCATGCGTTATTTACAGTTCCTTATGCGTTAGTTTTTATTGATCGTTCCTTATGCGTTATTCCTTGGGATAAAAAAGGGGCTTCGTTCCTTATGTATCGTTCCTTAGGTCAGGCCGATGACTGTAGGGCCGCTCTTGCGTGTAGCCGAATGGAGCAGGAGGAGGGGTCGTGGGCGAAGAACAGGTCCGTACTCATCCACGGCCCTGCGAGTCAGGCCCCTGGGCCGCGCCCCCGCGCATGCGAGGCCGTTATAGCTCTGCGGAGGCGGCCCGTCTCCGCGGGCGACCGCGTCTCCGTGGGATCGCGCCCAGGAAGTCCAGACCGCGAGGGCGCGCACGCGGATAGGTACGCCGATCGTGAGGGGGGACAGGCTCGGGGGGAAGGTTCAAGATTCGATGCTTTGGGGCGTTCTCGCTGACTTTCGGCGGTTTGCCTTCCAGCAGCTGCGTCTCGCCGGGAGCACTCCCGGATCCTCCCACACGGCGGCCAGCTATCCAAGTTGTGACCCGAAAGCAAAGGGGCAACGTTCGTTTTGGGAGGGGATAGGATCAGGTGGGGAGACATCGACCTCCAATCGCACATGCATCGCCGATTGGGGCCTGATAGCACCCCGCTCAGGAACGTTCGGATTCGCAATCGGGGCATATCGCCGATATATGGGCGATGCGTCGGCGATTCATTCTCGATGCTGCCCCCCTGAACTGGTCCCCATCGGCCCCTCTGCCGCGGCACGCCCAAAGGCAGGAAACACCCGCGGCGCCGATCCTTTCGAGTCGCCAGAGGTCTGGGCCATCGGGAGCCTCTGGGGGTAATGAGTCTTCGGAGGGCCTGGGAAGCGTGTGGAAGTCCATTGAAGCCTCTGGGAGGCCAAATATATTTGATCTTACGAGTGATACTTGCAGCCATGCTGGTTAATCTAATGGCCTTCGGCCCTTCCCGACACCGTGCCTGGGTTGTGGGTAAACATGTGACTGGCTGTTCGCTGGGATCTCGTGGGGGGCCTCGGGGGCCTCTCGGAGGCCGTTCTGAGACCTCTTAGGGGGCCGTTGTGGGGGGCTCGTCTTGGGCCTCCGGTTGGGCCTCGTGGTGGCCCACTGGGGGCCTCCTGGGGGCCTCTTGGGCGCCTCCTGGGGCTCGGGGCCTCTTGGGGCGGGAGGCTCGGATTTTCGGTTTGCGCTCCCTCTCTCGGGCCCCTTTTGGGGCCGTCTCGGGAGTGTCTCGGGCAGTTCTGGGCGCCTCTTGGGCCGTCTTGGGGCGCTCTTAGGGCGTCTTGGGGCCTTCGGTGGAGCTCCCTATGGGGCCGCGATCCGTGTGAGGGGTGTACCGAAATTTGCGTGAGGGGTGTGCCGAAATGGGCGGGGGGACGCATGAAGACCTTGCTATTGGCGCCTTCGGTGGAGCTACCTACTGGGCCACGATCCTCGTGAGGGGTGTGCCGAAATGGACGGGGGGACGCATGCGGACCCTGCCACCGGGGCATTCGGTGGAGCTCCCTACGAGGCCACGGTCCTTGTGAGGGGTGTGCCGAAATGGGGGGGTGGACGCATGCGGACCCTGTCGCTTGGGCCTTCGGTGGAGCTGCCTACTGGGCCACGATCCTCGTGAGGGGTGTGCCGAAATGGGCGGGGGGACGCATGCGGATTCTGCTGCTGGGGCCTTTGGTGGAGCTCCTGATGGAGCCACGATTCTCGTGAGAGGTGTGCCGAAATAGGCGGGGGGACGCATGCGGACCCTGCCGCTGTCGCCTTTGGTGAAGCTCCCTCTGGGGCCACGAAACGTGTGAGGAATGTGCCGAAATGGTGGACATGCGGAGAGCAGAGGCAGATATGAGAGGACGGAGGAGGGGAGGAGTAGTGAGTGAAGAGTGATTAGCCGCGGGGCGCTGTCTCTTCAAAACGAGGACCCAACACCACAGGATGGTTGGGAAAAGCGGCTGGAGCCCTAGACCCAATATTTCTGCTACATGTTTCGAGCTGGATCGATGCGCGATGGTCCTGGGCCCCGACACGCACTAGCGACGAACGTATCCATATCCGCGCCCTCCGATCCTCTCCCAAATGTGCCCCATCTCAACTTGGCCCACCCCTCTGGGGAGGGGGCCCGGTGGGGTCTTTGGGGGGTCTTTGGGTGCTCCCCTGCTCCCCTCAGTTGGGGGCACGCATCGCAGGGCATCAGCCTTCTGCGAAGCGCAGCACGGGCTGAGGGGCTGAGACCCGGACCCCGCTCTGCTGGGACAGGAACCAAATGTCCAGAGGGGGAAGAGGCGGGAGGTGGAGGAGGAGGGGCGAGGAGAGGAAGGATGAGCTTAGAGAGGAGGAATTCGGAGGGAGGACGATGGAGGGGGAGGGAAGATCATGGAGAGAGGAGGGAGGAGAACGAAGGGACGATGCACGATGGAGGACGAAACGTAAAGAAGGAGCTGGCAGAGGAGGAATGAAGGAGCAGGACGAGAACGAGCGCGGCGGCGCCAGGTTCTCGGATCATCTGAAGGGCTTGGGCTACAATGTCGGCTTCCTGATTATCATCGTTTTCGTTGTCGCGTTCTGTGTTTCCTCTGCTTTTGCATTACCCTCTGTCATCCTCGGCATGCCTCCCGTTGTCACACCCCATTCCTCTTCTGCCAGTGCCACTGATGAGAAGCTGCCCGTTCGGCGGGACAACCTCCCTCCCGGAAGCTTCTCAGCACTCACGCTGGTCCACTGGGAACGTCATGCCGGCTGGAGCATGCACCGCCCCCGACATTCGCCAGCCAGTGCTTGTATTGAGGGTGGATGGCTTCTTGTCGGGCGAAGAGAACTATGCACGTGCACCGATCCTGACAACGCCCATGCCTTCCTGGCCCAGGTAAGAGGGCGTGTGCACCGATCCTGGGCGCAGGATGGGCCCGGCCAGAATCGGTGTATGTGCATAGTTATTTTTCCTCCTCCTCCCTCCTCCCTCCTCCCTCCTCCTCCCTCCTCCTCCTCCTCCCTCCTCCTCCTCCTCCTCCTCCTCCTCCTCCCTCCTCCTCCTCCTCCTCCCTCCTCCTCCCTCCTCCTCCTCCTCCTCCTCCTCCTCCTCCTCCTCCCTCCCTCCGTTTCCCTCTGGCCGCCTCGCACGCTGCACGGGTCCTGCGCGCCTTCTCGCCCCGTCGCCGCCCGTGGCCACCTCGTGCGCCGGCCGCGGGCGCCTCGTGGCCGCCATCGTGCGTCGGCCTGGGCCCTCTCTGGGTGCCTCGCCGCCCACGGCCGCCGTCGGGACCGCCTCTCGCGTTGGCCGGGCCCCTATAGGGTTCTCGCCAGGATTAGGGGAACAAAAAAAGGCAAGATTAGGGGAACAAGAAGCCAAGATTAATTAGGGTTCTCGCCAAGATCAGGGGAACAAGAAGTGACATAAACAAGAAAACTCGGAGGTCCGCGCGGATTTTTCGGACCGGCGCTGGACCCCCGTCCCTGGCGCGCGGAGCGCGCGGGGGGCCCAGCGCCGATCCGAGAAATCCGCGCGGACCTCCGATTTTTTATGTTTGTGCGATTTTTTGTTCCCCTAAAGTCGTGTATAGTCAGGATCCCGGGTAAGGGGACCCAGTTAGTGGTAGGGCCTTGGGGCCCCTCAACTGGCCAGATTCACTAAGCCAGGTTTGCCGTAACCGGTGTTTTTCGCGTGACGGCAGTTCCGGTGAGTGGAAATGGAGCGGGGGGGCGCCCCCGCTACAAATCACTAAACCAGGCTCCATTAAACCCAGTTCTGCCAACGCCCGATATAGGGTTCTCGCCAAGATTAGGGGAACAGAAAGTAACATAAGCATGAAAACTCGGAGGTTCGGATCGGCGCTGGACCCCCCTCCCTGGCGCGCGGAGCGCGCCAGGGGCGGCGCCGGGGGCACCGCTGGGGGGGCCCCAGCGCCGATCCGAGAAGTCCGCGCGGACCTCAGAGTTTTTATGTTTATGCCACTTCTTGTTCCCCTAAAAGGTGCTGCCCGTGGCCGCTCCGTGGCCGTATGCGCCGGTGGATCGCAGCACGCAGACTGCGCCACGCAGGCTGCACAGCTCGGCTTGCACCGAACAGACTGCACCACACCGCACAGATTCTTCCAGAATGCCAGCTTGTGATAAAAAATGCCCCCTCTCCCCCTTTTCCAAGGCTGGTGAACAGATTCCACGGGGCGCGAGACTCATTTTGATCAGGCGCGCTGGGCGACTGTGCGCGACCCCACAATGGTTGGATGAACAGTGCAAACCACGGTCCAATCCCGAGCGGGAGCAAACATGCACGGTGCAGTGTGGTGGATTTCCGAGCGCAGTGTGAGTATGTGCCTTGTCCAGAGCCGAGCAATCTTGTTTTTGGTCCAGTTTGCGTTGCCTGCTGCATTGGGTTTGCGAGCGTTTGCCGTTCCAGGTTTCGTGGGCCTGTCTGGCGTTGTTCGTTGTCGGTCGAGTCTGCTCACATGCCCTCCTCCTTCGGCGCGAGCAGCGGCGGCAGCGGCGGCAGGAGCTCCTACCTTTGCCGTCCCTACTCGTCTCGCTTTCTTGTTGTTACGGCCATGTTGGCACAAACCCTCCGCTGTAACGGAGCCTCCTTCCTGGCGGTCGGGCGTCCGCTCCAATTACGGCCGCGGCGGTGATGTGCTTTTGTTCGGCCGGCACTCCCCCGCAGATCGCCCGAGATCGTTATTTGGTCCACCAGTTCCTGGTGTTTTTTCGAATCCCACGCTGGGGCCAGACGGCACAGCATATATTGCACCCCACAGGCTGCCGGCGTTTTCACCGACTGTGTCAGCGCCACCTCGGTCTCAGCATGCCTCCAAGGCCGCAGTGCCTAGAAGGCTTTCTGGGCGTAGCCCCCCACCTCCCAGCTCTTCCCGAATGGTTCCGGGTCGGCTGCCGCCCAGCTGGGGGAGGGGGTGTTTATTAATAGGAAACAGTGATATATTGGGATGAAAAGGGGGTTGGAAGAGGGAACGTTGTAAATGATTCGTTTCCGCAGTATTCCCAGCAGGGGAGGTGCGAGCAGCATACACTGTTCTGCGAGCCAGTGGTGTTCTCGCACGTTCCCGCGCGCACGGCAGTGCGCGCCACGGTTTTGTGGCAGCCTCTCGCTGTGCAGGAGGCTTTTCCCACCTTCGCGAGGGAGGCAGCCCAGAGCCGCCCCAAGGCGCTTTCTTTCCTCGCGCTTGCACGCAGGAGGCCCCGCGGTGCGCAGTGGGGTATCTGTCGCAACGGCGGGCCTGGTTTCTTTTGGATTGGTTGTTCCCTCCTCCTCCTCCGCTCGTGCCCCCCCCCCCTGCCTGTCTCAGCGCGCGCATGCCGTTTGTTCATTGTGCCATCTTCGCTCGTCAGTGTATATATCTTGGCCCACTCTGTGGTACAGCAGCTTCGCAGCAGGTCTCCTATCTTCTCCTTCGCCTCGGCTCCTCCCTCCTCCTTCTCTCTCCCTCTCCGGGCAATTCCTTATCCATGTGCTCCGGGCGCTCTCGGTTGCACCTCTTGCGTGGTATTCCATTGGCCGTGCCAGCCTCGGCGCTGGCTGCACGCAGTCTGCCCCGTCCGCACGCGTGCTCCCGTGGTGGCGCACGGAGTCGTGGCACGAGATCTGGGGGCCTAGTTTCGGCCACGTTCGCAGGCCAGCCCCGCTACGGTGCCGTGGCGAAGCCATTCTCACTGTCTCTGCACAGGCCAAGGTTTCGCGTGTTGGCTCGCCTATTGCAGGTTGGCCCTCGCGTGATTCCCGGTTTGCCTCGTGCCTGCGGTTGGGCACCATTGGCATGTTGGCTTCGTGGTAAAAAACATGTTGGCATTGAGACTATGTCTCATGCTCCGGGCTTTTCGTCTGATTCGAATAAGACGTCTCAAGTTTCCTCTTGCTGCAACTGCTCGTGCACCGAATCCGTGACACATTCGTTTGCCTGTTTTTGTGTTGGGCCTGGCGAGCGGTGTGGAGTGTACATGTGATGCGTCGCGGGGGGGAACCCTCCCCCCCCCCCCCAAAAAATGCACCCCACAGGCGGCACCCCGTACACACATCTATACGGAAAGGTTGTATAAATAGTTAGATATAGATCATGTGTCTCATAGAAGGAGCATAGAGCTGTGATATCTATATATATACATATATATATATATACAGGATTGAACTGCCGCTTCGCGCTTTGCACCTTACATAGTTCTTCGAGCTTCGTGCAGTGTGGCTCGTCCCGCCGTGGCCCTACTGCGGCCAGCTCCCCGCAGTGCTCTCGGGTGGCGTTGGGCTTGGACCTCGAGGCGGACCCTGCCGCGCGGCAGCGAGAACGCCCGAGGCTCCGAAGATACGGACAACGGTCTTACACATCGCAAGGTGTGGCAACCCCGCCTGCGTTCGACTGCGATCCCGTTGTTGCACTTCCTTGCCACCAGCCCCCCGGTGATCCTAACTCATGCTCCTTTTTCTCAGTGTTCCTCTGCAGGCCCGTTTCTTTCACCTCCTTCCTTCCCGGATATGACTTTATATTCCTCTCCTTGTGAATGTCCTGCGATGCTGACGTGCTGCAGTTTTTCTTTTGAGCGAGCTTGGGCACGCATGTGCCACGTATATATATATATATATATATATATATATATATGTATATGTATATGTATAGTTATATACACACGTACACATAGTATCATATTGTATGTATACATGTGTCTACATAAACATATATCTATGTGTGTATATATATACACACGTGCACGAGGACCGGGCGCCCGGGGCCCGGGGCACGGGGGGGCATGGGAGGACCAGGGTTTTTCCAGACCGCTCCCAGAGCACCCCAGAGCGGCCCTGGAGCTCCCGGACTGCCCCAGAGAGCTCCGAGAAGCCCTCGTCGGACTTGGACGAGCGCCTCCAAGACAGCCCAGATAGCCCCAACGTGGCCCCAGATGGGTTCGAGACTGCAAATACACAGCCCAAGAGGCCTCCATGCACAGTCCGAGAAGCATCCCGAGAGAGCCCGAAGAGGCCCAAATCCTTGATTTCCATTGTTTTTGTTCGATGTTGTTCAGTGTCTCGCGTTTTCGACCTTCCGACACTCCACGACGTCCCACGACGCCCCCAAGACCGCCCCAATACCGCCGAAGAGGCCCCTGGCCAATACGCAGCCCAAGAGGCCTCCAAGAGGACCCAAGAGAGCTCCGAGAGGCGTACCCAGAGAGCCCGAAGAGGCCCATATCCTTAATTTCGGGTGTTTTTATGTTTTTCGATTTCTCGCGTTCTCGAGCTTCCAACGCTCCAAGACGGCCGAAGACGCCCCGAAGACCGCCCCAAGACCGCCGAAGAGGCCCCACACAGAGCCCCAAGACGGCCCAGGAGAGCCTGAAGAATGCCCAAGAGCAGCCCAAGATTGCCCAAGAGATCCCCAGGAGAGGCACAAGATGGGCCCCAGAGCGGGAGCGGGAGGCCCCAAGGAGCTCCAGGACGGCCCAGATGATCCCGACGTGGCCCAAGAGGAGCTCAAGAGGGTAAACACATAGCCCAAGAGAGCTCCAATAGGGCCCAAGACAGCTCCGGGATACGTCCCGAGAGAGCCCAAAGAGGCCATTGATTTACATTGGCTTGTTCGATGTTTTTCGGTTTCTCACGTTCTTGAGCTTCCAATGCTCGAAGACGGCTGAAGACGCCCCCAAGACCGCCCCAAGACCGCCGAAAATGCCCCCCAAAGAGCTCCAGGACGGTCCCAGGGAGCCCGAAAATGGCCCAGGAGGAGCCCCAGACGGCCCAAGAGAGCCCCAGGACAGGCCCAAGCTGGGCCACAGAGCGGGAGCGGGAGGCGCCAAGGCGCTCCAAGACGGCCCAGATGGGTTCGACACGGCAATTAGACAGCCCAAGAGGCCTCCAAAAGACCTCAAGACAGTTCCGAGAAGCATCCCGAGACAGCCCGAAGAGGCCCTACTCATTGATTTTCATTGGTTTTTCCTATGTCGTTTTGGTTTCCCACGTTTTCGACTTTCCCACGCTCCAAGAGGGCCCACGACGCCCCCAAGACCGCCCCAATACCGCGGGAGAGGCCACCAAAAGAGCCCCAAGACGGCACCAGGGAGCCCGAACATTGCCCTGGACGAGCCCCAGACGGCCCAAGAGAGCCCCAGGTCAGGCCCAAGCTGGGCCACAGAGCGCGAGCGGGAGGCGCCAAGGCGCTCCAAGACGGCCCAGATGGCCCCAACGTGGCTTCAGATGGGCCCAACACGGCAAACACACAGCCCAAGAGGCTTTAAGACGCCCCAAGAGAGCTCCGAGAGGCGTCTAAGAGGTCCAAATCCTGGATTCTCAATCGTTGTTTTCAATGTGTTTCGCTTTCTCGCGTTCTCGAGCTTCCACCCCAACTCGTTTTCGTTTCCTCTGCGTGGTCCTATTTTCACCCCCGCTTTTGTCATTCCATCATTGGCATTCTGCTTGGACAGAGCTGTGGAGCTCATCCCCATCCTGCTCCACCACACCCCCTCCTCCCTCCTCTCCGTTGCCTCGTCCTCGTCATTCGTTGACTACGCGTTTTTTTGCGTCGATGTCATGGGCCCGAGAACGCTGGAAATCGTCGTTGTGGCCACAGCGGGGCTTACAGCGGCACCCGTGGCTCACCTGCGACTAGAACCTCAGCGCGCGCGTAGCGCGCGCGTGGTTCTAGCGTATGCATATATCAAAATGTATACACACGTATGTTGCATTCTGCGGATCGCAGCGCGTAGGGTGCGTAATGCACAGAGCATGTCGCACAACAGGGGCTGAACTCCGATTAAGGCAATATCCCTTTCTTGCGCTTGATGCATTCCCTACGCATCGCTATCGATACATGCCCCCTCCTTCGCTACTCTTGCCGCTGCCCCACTGGATCCATCAGGCGGCCCAGACAGTGCAAACCGCATCAACAGGATTACGATCCGCATCAGCAATCTCATCTTCATCATCGTCGCCATCATGATCATCATCATCAGCAGCAGCATCAGCATCGTCATCATCATCATCATCATCATCATCATCATCATCATCATCATCATCATCATAATCAGCATAATCATCATCATCATCATCCTCATCATCATCATCATCATTATCATCATCATCTTCATCTCCATCTTCATCTTCATCTTCGTCTTCATCAGCATCAGCAGCATCATCATCATCAGCAACATCATCATCATCATCATCATCATCATCATCATCATCATCATTATCATCATCATCATCACCATCATCATCATCATCATCATCATCATCATCATCATCATCATCGTCATCGTCATCGTCATCGTCATCGTCATCATCATCCCTGCTCCTGCTCCAGCGCCGGCCAGGTCACTTTCGAGAGCAGCACCGTCACCGCGTCGTTCTGGCTGTGCCTGGCGCCGCGGCCCCCTGAGCGCGTCCCCGGGATGGGGCCGGCCCGATTCCCACTGCGCTCCCGTGCCCCTTCGCTTGCCCCGCCCCCTGAAGGCTCCGATTTACTCCACCGGGGGCCCCCCCCTTCTGCGAGGGGAAGGGGAGGAAGGACGACGCCGACGAGGAAGAGGAGGATGAGGAGGATGGTGAGGAAGATGAGCAGGGTGACGACGAGGGTGAGGATGGGGAGGAGACGGACAGAGACGCGCAAATCGCCTGGAGGCGGCATTGATGCGAGAGGCGCGGGGAGGGGGCAGAGGAGGAGGAGGAGGAGGAGGAGGAGGAGGAGGAGGTGGCTTTCCGTGGCTTCTTGCGTGAGGCATCCGCGGGCCACGCGCCTGCGACGCGTCTGATTGCGTCGCGTCAGGCTTCCACATCTACTTCTTCCGGATCAGGTGGTTCTACTTCTCGTTCGCGGTTAAACTCGTCCTATGCTTCCTGCGTCCAGTCCGTGAGCTGATTGCCGCGTTCCCAGTGCCGTCTTACTGTTTCATGCATGACCCTGTGTTGGCGCGGTGGAGTCCGTGGTCATGCATGGCCCTGCCGGCTCCGAGGGCAACCACAAGGGCTGCGTCTGCCTTCTTTCTGCTTCCTCCGCCTCTCCTTCCCGCCCCTCGGCCCTCGGCCCTTCCCCTTTCTGTTCGTGCGCGCGTGGGGGGGGGGGGGGCAGGATTTGTCCGCCGCCGCGGGGCCGCGTCGGGCCGGGCCGCGTCGGGCCATCGCCGCGAGTCGCCCGTCACGCTCCCTTGGAACGGGCTCCCGCGGCAGGCGCGCGAAGAACAGCCTGGTTGGCAGCCCCTGGGCGCGAGCCGCGCGCCTCCCCCATGGGGGCCCCGCGCCGGGTGGGGGGCCAGGGACCGCTCCCCGCTCCCCTCTCCCTCTCCTCCTGCCCCTCCTCCTGCCCCCGCCTCTCCTCCTCCGTCCTCGTCGTCGCCGTCGGCTGGGCGCGGTCCCCTGCCTCCCCTGCGGCCCGCGGGGCCCCCCCGCGGGGGGTGGCGCCTGTGACTCGGGCCCTCGTGCCTTTCCTCGTTCTCTGGCGTGGCGCCTTCGATCCCCGATCGCCGGGAGGTCGGGCGCAGTTCCTGCGGCGCTCCGCGATGGCTTTCCCCCTTGCCTCCCCTCCCTCCGCCTCCTCTTCTCCTCTCTCGCGGCCCAGAGGTCGCCCTTCGTGCGATGATTGGCGCTCGCGCCGGTGCACGCGGAGGTGGCTGGTGGAGGACCCCCGGGTCTCGCCGACCGCTCCCTGTCTAGGGAGTCGCCGACGAGCCCGCGTGGTCCTCCGTCGCCGGCCGCCCGCGATCACAACACGGCCATCTCTTGGCCCGAAGGGTCTTTAGCATGCTGCATCCTTCTCGGCCGAGGGCGGACGTACTGCAGTCTCAGCGCGCTTTGCCTTTCTGCCCCCCTCCTCCTCTGCTCCTCCCCCTCCTTGTCCTGTCTCGGGCTGGGTTCCTCATGCCGTTGTGCATTTCTCATATGCGCATCCGTGTGCGAGGCGGTGGAAAAGTCCATGGCGCGCTGTACGCACGCTGGCATAAATTCTTGTAGCGCTCCATGATGTTCCGGCACCGGGGGGGCCCATTTTGTTAAGTGATGTCCCGGCCGCGTGGCCGCTATTCATGCACGTCCAATTCCTTCAGCAGCTTGACCTTGGTGATATTCTGCAATGGACGTTGGTTGGTGCTTCGTTTGCGTGAAAAAAAGGGGAGGAGGTGGTCTCGATCGGTTCGAGACAGCGCGGCTGACTCGGGAGGGGTCTCGATCGGCCCGAGGGGGTGGTTCGATCGAGAGGGCCGATTGGTTCCATCGATCGACTGGTCTCGAATATGCAAGATGCGGTGGAGGACCAGGAGGTCGAGGATTGGGATGAGGAGTACTAGTCTGAAGAGGAGGAGGACCAGGAGGAGGAAGGCCTCACAGCAGGAGGTGGGGCGGACGGCAACGGGGGGGTGGAATCAAAGGGCGGCGTCCAAGGGCGAATTTGCCCGTCGCCTTTCGGACGCGGGGTGCGAGTTTAGAGTTGTCTGGGGTCCTTCAGGGCAAGCGCTGTCCCTCTCGTAGCGCCTCCTCCTGCGGAGTGTGAGGAGAGTGGGAAGGAGGTGGGGGGGGTCTTACCTGATTCTCAGGGACTCTGTGAGGCTTGAGGACGGGGGGGATGAGGGGGGCGTCTTCCACTTTCCCCCCCTTCCATTCCCGCTCGTACTCGTGTTTTCCTTCTCCTACTCTCCGCCCTCCTCCTCCTCCTCCTCCTCCTCCCCAGGCGGGGGTAAGTCGGGGGAGTCGGCCACCTCCCCTCCGTTCCCACTCGTGCTCGTGCTCGTGCTTCTATTCCCCCCTTCCTCAACATCCTTCGCCCCTTGCTGTCCCAATGTTTCTCCATCACGTCTATATCACCCCTCATCCTATGTGTCATTGTCTGTATTCCCCCTCGTCTGTACATATATACATATATATATATATATATATATATAAATACACACAAGTGGCACGTGCGTGCCCAGGCTCATGCTAAAACACTTGCAGCACGTAAGCATCGCAGAAGGTTGACAAGAAGAGGGATATGAAGCCGGTTCAGAGCTGCAGTAGGAGGAATCAGGAGATGGAGAAGCAGGGGTAAACAAGAGAGACAGAGGATAATGAGGATCACCAGATGGCTGCTAGGACTGAGATGCAATAAAAGGGATCGCAGTCGAATGCAGGCGGGTTTGGCACACCTTGCGATGAGTGTTGCGCAGGAGGGGGTTTTACCCCGTGCGTTTGCAGTTGGACGCCAGGTCCGAAGTCAACTTCGGGAGGATGTCTCGAGCGAAACTGTCGTGTTGGAGACTATGGGGGCAACTTGCAACTTGAAGACGTCAGTTTTCAATGTTAAGGGCATGTGTCACGCGACTGCAATTGTTTCCGGGAGCCGCGTCCAAACTTATTGAAATTCATGGTGTATGTGAGGGCAAGATGGGTCAGTGCTGAAGATCTTCTGTGCTTTTGGTCCCTGACGTCGCAATCTGCGTGAACGGTGCGTCCGATCCGATTACTCGTGAGGATGTCCCACGGAAAACAGCAACATATCGCTGACGATATTCTCTGGGATCCACGAATCGCGTCTGCGCTCTACTCCCTCGGGAAGATTCGTAACATATGTTTAAGACACGCATGTTGAAATACATGTATGTGTATACACAAGTGTCTCCCCCCTGTCTGCACAATGACTCACCTCATGCGGGTGTGATGCTCGCATTCATTATTGCTGTTTTCTGGAGCATGTGTGGTTCAGGCTCCCTGCAGGTTCACAGGCATGTTCGCCCCTTGTCCGTATAGTCTCAAAACCCCCGTCTCCACACAACTCCTACTAATTCACAGCCTCCATCTCCATCACACCACCCAGCGCTGAAAATCATGCTCCGCGAGTGTTTCTGATTAGCGATGTTATGCTCCACCCCGCCGCTTACAACGCAAAAGCCATGTCTCCAAAACGTCCGTCTCCACCACGCCACGCATTACTTCACACCCTCCTCCCCAAGGATATCTTTTAATGGAGCCTGTGCTCCACAGCGTCCGCTTCCAGCGCAACACGCTTGGTTCCACAGCCTCCGGCTCCAGCATCCCGTCCGCCACCCCTCCACTCCAGGAGCTGCCAGCGTGCGTGCACCACGGACACCTCCTCCTCGCGCCCCTCAGAAACAGGGCGCGGGATCGAAGGATTGCAAAAAAAACAGGATTGCAAACAAAAAACAGGACTGCAAAACAACCCAGGTTTTTTTTGCAATCCAGGGTTTCTTTTGCAATCCTGGGTTTTTTTTTGCAATCCTGCGCCGAGGGCCCTTGGCGCTTCCGCGCCGCCGTGGCCGCGGCAGGCACCGGCGCGCGCGGCCGCCGGCGCCCCGCGCCGCGTCGGCTTTCCCGCCGCGACACCTCCTCCTCGCGCCCTTCAGAAACAGGGCGCGGGATCTAGCGCCGAGGGCCCGTGGCGCCTCCGCGCCGCCGTGGCCGCGGCAGGTCGCCGGCGCAGCCACGGCCGCCCGCGACTTGCGCGTCGCGTCGGCTTCCTTCCGGCGCCTTTGCGGCGCGGCCCGCCCAGGGCAGGCCCGCGCCCGCCGCCCTCCGCGCGAGCATCGCGAGGGCGGCAGCGATCCGAAGGATTGCAAAAAAACCGAAGGATTGCAAAACAAAAAAAAAAGGGTTGCAAAAAAAACGAAGGATTGCAAAAAAACCTTCGTTCTAGGGTTTTTTTTTGCAATCCTTCGTTCTAGGTTTTTTTTTTTGCAATCCTTCGTTTTTTTGCAATCCTTCGTTTTTTTGCAATCCTTTTTTTTGTTGCAATCCTGCATCTGCGGAGGCCAGCATGCCACGGACACGGGGTCAGCGCAAAAATCTGTGGCGCAGAGAGGTGTCCGAGCTGCTGGCGCGGGAGAACGCGAAAAGGGCTCCGAGCCGCTCGCCATGCGCCCAAAAAAGTCGGGAAGCCCATCCGCGGCGGCAAATGGAACGGCGCTCGAACAACGAGGAGCGCTGCTCCTCGGAGCTCGGCGCTAATCACGCTGCGCTCGCCGCAGAGAACGCCGAACCGAAGAACGGTGACAAGGCGCCGGCAAACTAGAACACCTAGCTCGGGAATGCGAACGCTGAGCTGAAGACTGGCTACGAGGACTTGTGCCACGGGTCGGCTACGCGCAGCGGGGGCTGGAGGGAGGGGGGGAGGCTTCTCAGAAGCACCCCTGCTTCTTAGAAGGCGCGGGCCTTGTCTATAGATATAGGGCCGGCTCCCTCCAAGAAGCAGCCTCCTTCTAAGTGATCGTTTTCTTATTCATTGTTTTGCCGATCGGCGCGGGCCCTCGCACCCCCTCCCCCCCCCCACGGAGTAGATCTTGCCTGTTTTTGGCGCCTGTTTCAAGCAGGTTGAGTCGCACTGTTGCAAGCAGTCGCATCATTACAAGCAGTGGTCCAGAGCCAGACCCCCCCCCCTCTCCCCCTTGGCCGCCCAATGGCGGATCGCCGAGTAAGAACATGCTGACCGAGAAGCCCCCCCCCCCCTCCCCCCTGAGTGCTAAACAAATCTCCCTCCAGACTTCTAGACTTAAGTCGGGCCTATCCCCCTACATGGGGATTTGCGACGAAAAAAAATACCCCAAACATAGTCCAAAAACAATCCAAAAATAGTCCGGGGACTATTTTTAAAGTATTTTTTGACCTTTTTGGGGTATTGTTGGGGTATTTTTCATTTTTCGTTGAAAATCCCCCTGTAGGGGGACACGCCCGACGTAAACCTATCTGGACTGCCTGACGCCGCGACAGGAGTTCGGGCGTCGAAGTCCTGGTGCTGTGTTGGAGCCCTCCTGGGAGGTCAGGGCCCCTGCCCGCGCGTGCGCGCCGCCGAGACTCGTGCCGCGAGGGCGGGGGGGGGCTCCCGGGTTAAAAGTCGGGCCTGTGCCCCCACAGGGGGGATGTTCCGACGAGAAATTACAAAACATACCCCAAACATAGTCAACAAAAAATCCAAACATAGTCTGGGGCCTTTTTTTAAGTATTCTTTGGCCTTTTGGGGGCATTTTTGGTGATTTGTTTAATTCTTCGTCGAAAATCCCGCTGTATGGGGGACACGCCCGACATAACTCCAGGGGGCACGTCTGCGACATAGCGACGAGCGGGCTCCGACGCGACTGGAGCGATCGCGACAAGCGCCCAGCTCGGGGCTCAAGGGGTACGTCGGGCATGCCTCTCGACGGGAGGAATATTCAAACACAGACAAAGGATAGTCTGGGGACAATGTTTCGACTGTTTTTGATGTTTTTGGGGGTATTTCAAAGCATATGTTCTATGGTTCGTTCAAAATCCGCCTGTAGGGGGACACGCCCGACTTAACTCAAGGGACGAGTTTCAATGCAAACAGGGGTCAGCGAAAGCGCCAGATCTTGCAGGATCCTGCAGTGCCAGGGGTGCACTGACCCGGGTTTGGATGTAGGATCCTGCAAGATCCTGCAGGATCCTGCAAGCCCTGACGGACCCAGGTTTGCATTGACCCGGGTCAGTACGTCCCCGACCAGCGTTGGTGGCTGAACCTCGGCCGCGGCAGCGATATGAAGAACCTGGAGTCCGAGGAGCAAGAGTCGAAGATGAAAAACGACATAAACATAAACTTTTGGCGCTTCGCGTGGATTTCTTGGATCCGCGCTGGGCCCCCCTTGGCGGCGCCTCTGGCGCCGACCCTGGCGCGCTCCGCGCGCCAGGGAGGGGGGTCCAGCGCAGATCCACGAAATTCTCCCAGAGTGCCAGAAGTTTATGTTTATGCCGCTTTTTTCTCTCAGAACCAGGAATATGAGGAGCAAGAGGTCATGATAATGATATGCTCCAAGATTTCCCATATTTCCAAAGATTGCCTCATGCTTCACGCGGGCTGCAGAAACGAGGGCTGCGGCGTGATATGGTGTAAATCCTGGAACGTATCCTGAGTAGATCCTATCTTGACATTATTCTCGTCCTACTGAAGGACAGCCGCGCCGAGGTTCTGGCGCAGGTAAGCGCCAGGGCAGGCTGACAGATCTCCCCGCTCGCGGCGGCGCGCGAGTTGTCCGTCGCGATCCTGCAGAAGCATCAAAGGGAGGCCCTAAAACATCGGCATATCTAACAACTGTCGTTTTCTTTTGACTTGGCCATCTGTTTTCTTTTATGTTTATGGATTGCTGGTTATTTACTTGTCTGTGTTGTTCCTCATTAGTATGGTTCGTCAACTTCTTATTATCATTATCTCTTTCTCTGTCTCTCTGACCCTCTCCCTCTTTCTCGCACTCTCTCTCTCTCTCTTTCTCTCTCTCTCTCTCTCGCTCTCACTCTCTCTCTCTCTTAATTGTTTGTTTGTTGTTCCCTCTCTCTCTAGACCTAAGGATCGGTATACCAGTAGACGCATCCTCACACAGGTGTATGTATGATGATATGTGTGTGGGGGCGTGTAGACAGTGAGGCCGCGCCTTCTCTAGATCGACGGACGTTTACTGCGACCGATACCTGTAGAAGTAGAGACGTGAATCTATTCACGGTGGTTTCGCCATGTAGGTGGCGATGCCCATCAGTGCATCGATCGACGTTGACGCGGTCACTCTGGTCTATATATATACCATTTACAGACACAGATATACGCATGTAACATCACCGGCGCCCAGGGCTGAGGTGCTCCCCGCGAAGGCTCTGGGAGGCTCGTGCCGTCCCATGGTCATCTGGAAGCGTGCGTTTCTCTTGGCAGCGCTCGGGCGTGTGTCTTTTTTTCTCCTCGGCGGGAGCCTCGAGCAGAGCATCGTGGTCCCCCTTGCGAGCGAAACAACATGCACGGAACCGAGAACAATTCGCTGGGCATGGGCGTCCGAACGGTGGCAAAAATGTTTGGTGGGCTCGCTGCCTGACATTTCGCCCCATCCAAGAGACGCCCGTGCCCGCCGCCGTTCGGGCCGCCGCCGCCGCCGCCAGGTGCTGCTCGTGGCCCAGCTGCTGTCCGCCTGCCGCCTGTGGAGGCCCCCCCGCCGGCGCCGCGGGGCCGCGCGGGGCGGGCCGCGGCGTCCGAGGCTCGCGCTTGCGGGGCGCCGTGGGGCCTCGAGCTTGGCATCGCCCGGACGTGCGCATGTTTCCTGCGGGGAGGACCATCGACGAGGAGCATCCCTGATGATTTGGTGAAAAAAGCCACGCACGAAGCCGACAAAAGCACAGGGAATGGACGTCCGAGCGACGGCGAGTGCGGGGCGCCGTGGGGCCTCAAGAGAGCCCTCAACAGCGTCGTACCAAGAGCCTCTGGCATGATGCCTGCGGGGGCTCGCTTCGAAGCCCCCCTCGCATCGAGCCCCTTCTTTGGGCACTCCTCGTGCGCCCCGGGGCTCTCTTTTCTTTGACGGCCTCCTGGGCCCCCCTTTTTGTGGCCTCCTGGGGCCTGCTCGAGCCCTTTTGGGGGGCCCCCCCTTTGAGAGGAGGAGGATGAGGAGAAGGAGGAGGAAGAGGCGGAGGAGGGGAAGTGGGAGGAGGAGGAGGAGAAGGAGGAGGAGGAGAAGGAGGAGAACGAGGAGGAGAAAGAGGAGGGGGAGGAGGGGGAGGAGGGGGAGGAGGAGGAGGAGGAGGAGGAGGAGGAGGAGGAGGAGGAGGAGGAGGAGGATGAGGAGGAGAAGGAGGCCTCCTTGGTCCTGCTCGAGCTCACTGCTGTACCAGGAGGAGCCGGGAGGGCGGGGGTCCCCGCCTCGGGCAGGGGGGCGGGCCCAGCCAGCCGGGAGGGCCTGGCTCGCGGACGATCGCGGCCTGCCGTCCTCGGCGTCGGCTTACGTCGGGCGGTTCCCTCCACAGGAGGCATGCTCGAGAGTAGTCAAAACACAGTCTGGGGACGAGTTTGCTACTATTTTGACCATGTTTGAGCAAGCGTTTGCTATCTCTTGCGTCTTCCTTTGAAGATCCGCCTGTAGGAGGACATGCCCGACCCAAGCGTCGGCGTCCCCCTTCGCCGTCGGGGGGAGGGTCCGCCCAGGAGAAGAAGCAAGGGCGGAGGAGGAGGAGGGAGGAGGAGGGAGGAGGAGGAGGAGGAGGAGGGGAGGAGGAGGAGGAGGGAGGAGGAGGAGGAGGAGGAGGAGGAGGGAGGGAGGAGGAGGGAGGAGGAGGAGGAGGAGGAGGAGGAGGAGGAGGAGGAGGAGGAGGAGGAGGAGGAGGAGGAGGGAGGAGGAGGGAGGAGGGGAGGGAGGGAGGGAGGCTGGGGTATGGCGTCGCGGCGTCGTCCTGTCGTCGGCGGGAGGGCCCACCTCCCACCTCGCGCCGTGAGCGGGGGTCGTGCCGGGAAGGCTCCCTGGCCACCTTCGGCCACCAGGGGCGCTCGAAGCCGGGCCCCGGGCGCCGCGGTCGTGAGATTCGGTGCCCCGTCCAGAGGGATGCAGTGGAGGCCCACGCCAAGAATCCTCTTCCTCCTCCTCCTCCTCCTCCTCCTCCTCCACGCTCCTCCACGCTCCTCCACGCTCCTCCGCTCCTCCTCTCCTCCTCCTCCTCCCCTCCTCCTCCTCCTCCTCCTCCTCCTCCTCCTCCTCCTCCTCCTCCTCCTCCTCCTCCTCTCCCCTCCTCCAGGCAGGGTCGTTGTGCCATCTCGCGTCAGACCCGTTTCGTTTGGAGGTGGACAGACCTCCTACCCTGACATGTCGGTTAGTGAATTGTCCGTTTTCGGTTCTCGAGAGGGCGCCGCGGCCGTCATTTTCCAGGCTTGCGCCCGCCAGGTTCGGGCCCGAGGTCGTTTTCACTGGTCCACGTTTTACTAAAGGGGGGGTCGTGTCCATCTTCGAAAGAAGGAAAAACGGCATAAACATAAACTTGTGGCGCTCTGCGCGGATTCCTTGGATCCGCGCTGGGCCTCCCCGGCGGCGCCTCCTCCGGCGCCGCCCCTGGCGCGCTCCGCGCGCCAGCGAGGGGGGGCTCCAGCGCAGACCCAGGAGATCTGCGCGCAGCTCCAACAGTTTATGTCTGTGCGGTGCTTTCGTTTTCTGGAGATTGCCAGCCTCGAACGTATCCCTATCCCTAAGATTGACACGCCAAAAGGCGATGACAATCTTCGGGATTCGCCCTCGAAAAATAAGGGAATCCCTAAGATTGGCATAGTGATGAGGAGATGCCCAGCATAGGGATAGGGATATGTTCCAGGCTGGTTAGAAGAAGCACCCTGCTTGCCTCCAGGGTGCCCTGGGTGTCTTGGGTGTCGATGGTTTTGCAACGGCAGGCGTGACGTTGCCACACCAAGAATCAATAGACGTCCTGGGGTCTCAGGGTCGGGTTTCTTGCGGAAGGTGTCTTGTGGTCGGGCCTCCACTGTACGCCGGGCGGGGCTAGGACCGGGATAGGTCCTCTGGAGCTTTCCCAACCATCCTCTCAGAGCATGCCGGGCCGTTCTGGAACGTCAGACACAGTTTTTCCAGAAGTCCAGGTCTGAGTCTGTCTCGGCCCTTGCTTCGTCTCAGTGCCCAGTGCAGCGATGGCGTTTTGGCATCGCGCAGCAAGGTGGCAGGGATGAGCCGCTTCCGCGCAGGTGGGCGCGGGAAAGTGCCGAGAAAAAAGCATGTGATGTGTCGACTCAAGCCTTATGATGCTCCAACCTACTTTAGCTTTGACCACCAGGAAGAATTTCGAGCGCCCAGAAAAGTACCGAAACTCAAGGGTTTTCACGTGTCGGGCCCTGGGGGACACTCGCCCGACACTGTTTCGACACGCTTTCGACTCTCTTTTGACACTTTCCCGGGCGCTCGAAATCATGTCTGGGATGCGGTCCTTAAGTAGGACGGGGACAACATAACTCAAGCCTGGGTCTACCGAGTACCCTTCAGGGCAGCGCCAAGAAGCGAGCCATGGCATCAGGCTGTCGCGGAGGGGCCGCTGGCTCCAACGCGCGCGTGCGCGGGAGGGGGCGAGCGGGCTCACGTGGCAGACCCGTGTGGCTTTTGGGGCCGCCTCCGCCGCCTGGCCCCCATCGGCGCGGGCGCGCGCGCGCGCGCTCACGACGCGAGGCGTGGTAGGGGGCTCGGAGTCTGGCATTCTGGTATTGTGGGCGTCGAGTGTCGAGAATCCGAGGCGCGAGCGCGGCCGGATACACGCGCACGCCTGTGCCGCAGCCGGAGCCGGGGGAGAAGGAGGAGGAGGAGGAGGAAGGAGGAGGAGGAGGAGGAAGGAACTTCCCGCAGAACATATACAAGCCTCGCATAGACGGCAATGCCTTCTACCTACACCCAAGTAGAAGACACAGGGTTCGTGCTAAACCCGATATGCATTTACGAAAAGCACGATGGTCTTGGGACCAAGGAGGGTTACGGCAAACCCAAAAAAAACAGGACAGCAACCCAAAAATTGCTACAGCTTGTTTTTGCTTCCCGACTTTTGCTGCCAGCCGATCTACGCATCTGGGGCGGGTATTGGGGTGGAGGAGATAGCGGAGGTGGGGGCAGACCGTGATTCATCGGGCGTTGCAGCACCGACCAGCTTCGGTCACCTTCAGTTTCCTTGACTGTCCCAGGACAAGCAGCACATGTTGGAGATTTCTAAAGGCAGCAGCCCAAGAGTTACATATTAGGCGGACACCGCTTCACTTGCTCACTATTGCAATCCTGAATCTAACGTGGAGTGGCGGTGCTTTGGAGGAGGTCTACCATATAATTCAGGCGATGCAGCACCGACTAATTTCGGTCACCTCCAGTTCCTTCGTTTGTTAGCACACGCAGCACACTTCTTGACTTTACAGGGTAGCAGTCCCAGAATAGCATCCGCATACGATGCGACCACATTCAGCTTCTTAGACTGATCCAGCATAAGCTTCCCATTTTTGGCAGAGGAAAATTCCTGTACACCGCTAAGTAGTACCATTCATTGTCACAGCATGCCCATCTGCCACATGCAGCAGGCCAGCCAAGATCACTGACCAACCTACAGTAGACGATACTTGATTGTGCCTGCCATTTTGCACGCGCTCATTTTCTCAACCTGCTCTTTAATAGCAGCCAGCTTGACCACAGCAGCGCGTACCTTTTCAACATTGTGGGGGGATGGGATTGTTTTTGCAGGAGCAGGACCAACCAGCGTCACATTCAGCTCTTAGGCTACCCCAACATAAGCGGCACATTATTGTGGTAGTAAGGCCCGGAAACACCCATGGCCAGCTTACAGTTGCTCCTGTCCAGGCACTGTGCTCCTGATTCTGAGGAAGAGAAGTGGTTACATTATTAGACGCAGCATGCCTTTTCCCGCCACTTTGACCAGGCCAGCCGACATATCTGGCCATCCTACAGGATGTGTCTTAACTTTAGCAGGTCTCACTTACTTGATTTCTTTTTTTGTCTGAGGAAGCTCTTTGTACTTATTATTATTGCGGACAGTTTGTGTCAAGGTAAGGTTTGTCTGTGACCTACTGAGGTACATCCTGCTTCCTCTACCTGGCGGACGCCTACTAACTGTTGTAGTCTCTGCGTCCTGCCTATACTTACAATCGTTTTTGCGGCGCCCGCCAGGTACCAGTGCCCCGAGTCGGCCTTTTTTTCCATTTCACAGTCGAACACACATGCTGCAGGCTAGATCCTTAAGTTGAGCGAGCGTGTACAGGAGGAAGGAAACAACATGCATACGACGACGGACGCGCACGCGGGACGCCCGTGCCGGCGTGACGAAGCAGGCGGGCGGAAGGGACGTCTCCGCTTGCGGCGTCCCACGATGGCTCTCCGAAGGCCGCGGGTGGCCGCGCCGCAGATCGCACCTCGCGCTGGCGGTCTCCCCAGGCACTCTGCGGCAGCTCACGTGGGGTTGACCTGGGCTCTCGGGCCGACTTTGGCTCCGAGGGCCTCCTCACCCACTTGGACTTTGTTGGCTTTTTTCGGAACCTTTGAGGAAACCTTGGGGTTCTGGAGCCAGCCAGGAGCTCCGTTCAAGCTCCCTCACGAGATTTGGAAAGGTTTTTTTTTTTTTTTCTGAATTTTTCGGAGCTTTCTTCAGACGTCTGAGGAAAGGTGGAGGAGAAAGAGGTATGGCGAAGGGAACAACGTGCGGGGGATCGAGGAACGAGAAGGGACGGTGAGGAGTAGGCGGGTAGCGATGCAGAGGCGGATGAGTATGTACGACGGTAAGAAGGGGTGACGAGGGCGAAGCCAGACAGAGGCAGGAAGGACGGGGTGGAGGAGGGAGGAAAGATGAGGAATGAGGTAGGAGAGGGGGCGGGAGAGGGACGTCGTGTCCTTAAGAGCGAGGCAGGGGTGAGGGAGGAGGACGTTGAGGAGAATCCACGGGAGAATAATGAGAGGAGGAGGAGGAGGAGGAGGAGGAGGAGGAGGAGGAGGAGGAGGAGGAGGACGAGACGGTCGGCATTGCACGAGTCAGTCGCAGCTTCTGTCTGACAGGCAGTAGCTGCTTCCGTATGGTTACATGGGTGCTTCCCTGAACCCTCTTGCGACCCAGTCGAAACAATCTCGTGACCTCTCTCCGTGCGGGAGACGGCGGACGGAGATGGAAACGATTGGCAACGCCCTTGTCCCGACAGCTTCTCGCCGCATTCATGGTCTCGGCGCCCATCGCCCACTGTCGCCCCTCCCCTGGATCAATTGATCGCCAAAGGAACATGTCCGACAGATACGCCGACGTCGAGAGCGAGCAGGAGGCTGCGAAGCCCGAGGCCTGCAAATGCGCCGTGCACCCTCGTCGCCGATCATGGGCAGCAGGGTCAGGATTCGGCAAGCATGCTGCCACAACACAGGCTCTGGACCGCTTCTCTTAACACCACACGTAGGCGACAAAAAGAACGGTCGAGCAAATGATCAAGAAACCTCTTCCCGAAAAGTTTGACCAACGTTTCTCACTCAATTTTCCAGAAAGCTGGTCCAGCTTCTTGAGCACATTCGATTCTTGCAGCGTGAACAACAGATGTTGGCCCACGCTTGTTTCAAGAAACTTCGGCAAGTTGGCCCAGGCTTCTTAATTGATGATCCTCTTGGTCATAGGCTTGGCGGTAACCAAACAAACGAATGAGGTTGTTGCGCTAGGCTCGCTGCGCACTGCAAGACGCGCGGGTCTGGACGCCCCCCGAATCAGAGTCTCAAGGCAGAAGGGTTCACGCCTGGGCAGGGTGCCCCTGCTGCGCAGGGCCCACCTCGACTCCCACGATTCGATTCGCTCCGATCTCGTTGGCTTCCGATGCCGTTTTGATTCGACTTTGTATTCCGATTCTGGTTCCGATGCCTCACTGGAGGCCTCACAAGCCTGTCGATTCCTGCCGATTCGACGTCTCCCGACTTTGTTGCCGACATTCGGCGCTCCGAACCATCTCGATCGCCGATCCGATGTGCGGCATCCCTGCCTTGTTCCTGGGATTCTACTGTCGAGATCGCTTGGATAGCGTGTTGCAACGTCCTCTCTGGCCCACGACGCTTCGGCACCACACGCTGTCCACTTCCGAGTCCCCAGGTGTCAACGTCTCGAGTTTTTTTCCGAGCCTCCCGGCCCGCGGCGCGGAGCGACACGCCATCCACTCGCAGGGCATAGCGTGTCGCCAGGGCCGCCTGCCGCGACACGCTAAGCAAAAGCTCCCGGCCGTATCCACGCGAGTGAACGGAGCCTAGTCTTGCAGTTTTCCGTCGGGAGGTCGCTCCTTCTCCCCCTCCTCCTCCTCCTTCTCCTCCTCCTCCTCCTTCTCCTCCTCCTCCTCTCCCTCCTCCTCCTCCTCCTCCTCCTCCTTCTCCTCCTCCTCCACCTCCTCCTCCTCCTCCTCATCCTCCTTGGAAGCAGACTGTTCGAATGGGAATGATCACGAGCGCCAGTCTGCAGTATCGAGTTGAGTTCGAGCTGTGGACAAGCAAGGCGTGAAGCACATTTCTGTGAAGTGTGTTTGGTTTTGGCCATGGTTCGGTTTGGTTAGGCTTCAGTTGGCGGCGTGCCCTGCCCGCGAGGTTCTCACAACCTTCCCGTCTTGGCCCAGTTATATATATATATATATATATATATATGTATATATACATATATATATATATGTATTGGGCCTGGTTTGGGGCCAGCATTGCCTGAGAGGTCCTCAATTTGTTTGGTTTGGTTTTGTATGGGGCCAGTATGTCTGATGGGTGCTCGCACGTCACATGGCTTTGGAATGGCATGGGGCCAGTTTCGCCTGCGACTTCCTTGCACTGAACCGCCTTGTTTGGCCTGCTTTGGGGCTGGTTTTGCTTGGGAAGTGCTAGCGATCTGCTTGGCTCGGATTCTCGCCTGGCCTGGTAGAAGTGACAGTTCGAATCCACTATCTGTTTGTCACTGTGTATGGTAATATGGAGTCTTCACACGCGTGTCGACTGGCGACGCTCTAAATGTTACCGTGCACACGCCAGCCATATTGTGTTCTGTACTATCACAGTCACTGTGCGTCATCAGAGCGCACTATGCGCTGCCTCAGTATTACATTGTCCAGCCCTCACTCATCTGCTGGTTGCTTCAGCTCGGCACGGGCGTATTGGCGTAAGTTCAGAAGTTCCCGAGTTTGTAGCTGTTTCGCTTGTGGTCTTGGGACCGCGTGAGAATAGTTTGAAAGGGATGGGGAATGTTATACGCAGTGAATCCCGTGACTGGGCATAACCTGCATGCGTGAATTCGTGCACGTGCGTACCTACATTGCCTCTAACCCAGCATGCAGCAAACGGGGAAATGCCTGCTCACATCTCGCCGACTCGCCTGGGTTCGGGGCAATTACTTTCAGCATTTCTCGCTCTTTGGATACTGAACAGGGCACGTCGGGAGCGCCAGGGTTGTGGTTGCGAGGGTGAATGGATTATGCGATTGGATTCGGCGATGTGTTCGTCTGGCTTGGACGATGATCGATCATCACTCTGCATGGGCTTTTTCTCTGGTGCGTGCACTGCTTTGCGGGCAGACGTCGTATCCTCGCGTTGCACGTGCATTTCACGTCAGAGCGGTGCCACGCGGACAATACCTCTCAGGCCAATTCGGAGCGGATAAGTCGTCTGAGGCTAGTGCGGCACGGGCCGTTCGCCTCAGGCTAATTTGGCACGGACAGCCGTGGGCCCACTATGCTAGATACACGTCGTGTTTGCACCAGCTTCTCTAATGCGAACGAGGTGACCTGCTGCTACGGACGCCTTACCCCGTCTTGCTGATGTGATGCCAACTCCCCCAAGGCGTCCAAGTGTAGCGCATGTCCCCAGGTACCGAGCATGCTGCAGCGCCGATCTCGAGCCCGGCTCGTCGCTGGGGGGGGGATACCTCGTGTCCAGACCACGGTGGATGACGGCTTTGCCGCAGGGCGAACGGGTCTGTCTTCGGTATCACCCCAGGGGCGACGTGCTCGCCGAGAAATCTTATAGTATAAGCTCCATGGCGGATGCGTTCTGGCCATGCCACTCCGGGAACGACGTGCCACAAGATGGTATCTTAGATGTTCGGGTCGGACGCACAATGTACCATGGAGGAGGAGGAGGATGAGGAGGAGGAGGAGGAGGAGGAGGAGGAGGAGGAGGAGGAGGAGGAGGAGGAGGAGGAGGGAGGAGGAGGGGGGGGGGGGAGGGGGGGGAGGAGGAGGAGGAGGAGGAGGAGGAGGGAGGAGGAGGAGGAGGAGAGGAGGAGGAGGAGAGGAGGAGGAGGAGGAGGAGGAGGAGGGCGCGTGCGTCCCATGTCTGCTTCTGCCCTTGCCGCCGTCGTCTTCCGCCGCCGCCCCGGGGCTCGGACTCTGGGCTCGCAGCCGTTGCGCGTCACCAGCGCGTCTCCCGGGGGCTGTGCGGCCGCGGGCAAGGCTGCTGCGCCAATGGAGTGAGCCCTGCGGGCCGCGCGCCCGCTGGGCCCCGAGGAGCGGCTGCTTCTGAGATCGCCGTCTGCACTCGCCGCCACGAAGATGTATACAGACCCCGTATCCGACGAACTTTTCATGTGCCTCCAGAAGCGGTGGCGCTGCATCAAGTCGATGGCTCTCAGTGATGTTTTATCCACCGAGCTCCTCTCCTGAGGCCCAGGCACAGTCCGTTGGAAGGTGTCAAACTACATGATGATCAGGAGGAGGTGGAGGAGGATAAGGAGGAGGAGGAAGAGGAGGCCAACGACGAAGAGGATTAGGGCGAGGAGGGGGAGTGAGAGGATGACCAGGAGAAGAGGGAGAGGCATGCGGAGGATCGGAAGGGAGGATCGGAAGGGGGGGGGATCAAAGGGGGATGAGGGGGAGATGGGGGTGCAGCAGACGGGAGGAGCCGGGAGAGAGGCACAAGGTGCAGAGGTTGATGCTGATGCCGGTGCTGCTTCCGAGAAGTGGCGCGGGCATCTCAGTGCCCGCGGGCCTGGACTGCCTCGTCGGGGCCGCAGGAGGCGCCGCAACGCCAGCGAGCTGGTGTGCCGCAGGCGCCCGGGGAGACGTCCTCAGAACGCGCCCTTGGGAGAGGCGCGGCGGGGCGATCGTGAGGGTGAAGGCTCTGTGTGTGCTGCCCTCCCTCTCGACGCGTGGTATCTGCTTCCGGGCTTCTTCGCACTGCTTTCAGAGAGGAGCCCCGACGAGGGACCGGTCTGGTCGGGAGCTCTGGGGCCCCAGGTCGTGAACAGAAGCAAGGTTGTGGCAGGGGGAGCGCGAGGATGGGGGTAGCGGAGGACCGGGCAAGGAAATCGAGGGCCTAGGGGGTTCTCGTGGGTTCTGTTTCGCGTGGCGGGAGAGGTTCGGGTGCTCCAGGAAGGACGGGAGCAGGGAAACGTGGAGGAGGAGGGAGGAGGAAGAGCTTGCAGGATGAGTGTTCAGGAGGGGTGGCGCGCCACCCCGAGGACATTCGCACGCAAGCTGCCCGCTCAGGGCCGCGCGCGGGGCAGTCTTTCCCACGTGGAGTGCCCCACCAGCGGCCTGCCCGAATCATGGCGTGAGGTCGAAAGTGGCCTCGTGCGTGGGGCCTGGTGGGAGTCCGTGGCTCGGCGCCTGGTTGTCGCGCACTGGAGGGGGGGGGGTGCATAAGGGGGGGGGGAGGGCAGCGAGGGCTGTAGAACGTGGGGCCCTCTGGGGCCCCTCAAAAGGGCTTTTCAGGGCCCAAAAGGAGGCCTCGCGGGTCCCCCCCCTCCCCTGAGGATTGCCCCCCCCCCCCCCCCTTCAGCGACGCCCACGGCGCACCAGGCCGAGCCCTGGTACAATCCATGCTGTGTGCCCCGGGCCTGTGGGCAAGCGCGGCCGCGGCGGCGCCGGGGCGGGAGGCAGCAGCGCGAGACCCGGACTGCTCTGTCGCTCGGCGGGCCTCCGGGGTGAACCTCGGGGGCCCCCAAACGCGGTGGTGACCACACCGTGTGGTGAGTCGGTGGGGATTCGGTGTCACGGCACGGTTTTGGGACTTTGGTCGTTCTTCGAGGATGTCTCGGGCGACTGGGGCCTCCGAGGTCCCAAAACCGTGTGGTGATGGACCCTGCGGTGAGGTCGTTGTGGATTTCGAGGTCACCGCTGGGTCTGTCACCACGGTGTTGGGACCCCCAGCAATCCCCCTCCCCGCTCCTCAGAGGAGCAGCCGCTTTGGCCTCCCCGCTCCCGCACTGCACAGCGGCACGTGTTCTGAGGCAGGCCCAGCCGTTTCGCGCACGACGTGGGTCGGGCGCGTCGTCGTTGTGGGGCCCGCTCCCCCGCTCCCTCCCGCGCAGTGGTGCCGAGAGGGACAAAGCAAGCACTCATGCCAGCGCGTGGACCCCAAGCAGCAGGTTCTGGCACCCACGCTGTGCAGTTGACGCGGCGCAGCAACATGGCACCGTGGGGCGCCAACCATTGTCGAGGACAGCAGATCGTGTAAGCATAAACGTTCGGAGCTCCACGCGGATTCCTGGGATCGGCGCAGAGCTCCGAGAGTTGATCTCTATATACAGTTTTCCTCGGGGGCGCGGAGATTCTCGCGCATCGCGGGCCGCGGCCCGGGGCAAGAGCATGTGCCTTTTGGTCCATGTGATATGCCTTTTGTGCCTCGGGGGCGCGAGGACGCGAAGCCAACCGCGCATCGCGGTGCGCGACGCGCGGGGACATGCTCCGACGCGCCAGCGGCCGCCTGTTCGGCACGGGTCAGGGGGGGAAATCTCCGTTGCCCGTGGGCGAAAAGCATGTTCGTATCCGCGGCCTCGCGGGCCGGGCCCCTGGGCTGCGACTCCGCAGGTACTGAGTCTTGGTTTTGCTGATGCCCCGCGCCGACCGTATCCGTACGACCGCGTATCCGCGGGATCGCGCCCCGGAATCCAGACCGCGAGGGCGCGGACACGGGTACGCTCACCGCTCCGGAGCTGCAACGCCACGAGCGCCGCCCAGCCGCGCTCGGCGGTTTCTCGCCTCGCCCGCGCCCCTGCGGCGCACGCCACTGCCGGGACGAAGCGGTCCCGTTGCCGACTCTCGGGCCGGGCGGAAGGGGGGGATTGGGAAAGGGGGGGTTACGAAATTTGCTGCATGCAGCTGGTGTCGGCCTCACCGAGGAGCCCATTCCTCGATACATAGCCGCCTCCGGCGCCGGGAGGCGCTGGGAAAATCGGCTACGCGAGCTGATTCTCAAACCCCCCCTTTGCTATCCCCCCCTTTCGCCCGACCCGAGACTCGGCGCGGGCGCCTTCCAACCGACACGGCTGCCCATCAGCGAGACGACTTCTGGCACGTGCGAGGGCCGGCGGCAGGCGCTCTGAGAGGCCTATAGCCGCTCGTGTTCTGTCAGGAGGAAAAAAAAACACACACACACACAGACAATTCATCGTCGACCCCGAGGAGTTCCTGGGAAAATACGGGAAGTGGGGGGGAAGACAAAAACTCAGGAAAATATGGAGAATCCTTCTATTTGTGTCTATTTGTTTGTGTGTCCCAGTTCCCCTTCGTTCTGGGAGGTCATCCAGTGGAAAACCATGGCCCCCAGTGATCTATGGCGGGCACCGGCGCCGATGCCGCCGCCTGGGCCGCGACAGATTGGGGGGCGATGAAGGGGGCAGCGAGGGCTGCCGGGGGGAAGAAGGGGGCCCTGCAAAAGGGGCCCTGAAGGGGGCACCTTCGGACCCAGAAGGGGGGCCCTGCCTCCTCCTCCTCCTCCTCCTCCTCCTCCTCCTCCTCCTCCTCCTCCTCCTCCTCCTCCTCCTCCTCCTCCTCCTCCCCGTCCGCTGATCGCCCCCCCGTTGATTCGCGCCCAAGCGAATCAATGGGGGGAGGTTGGGTTGGGGGGAGGTTGGGGCAGAGAAGAGAAGGCTAGCAGGGAGGAGGAAAGATGAGCAAGAGAGGAAGTACATTTCCTATATGTGCACTGTCATGAAGCTGCTGTGTACACCGGTCGAGCATGCGCGTAACTCGCGCCCACGCCGCCGCGGCAGAAGTCCGCCACGAGCCCGTCCCGGGACCCCGCCCGCCGCCCGTCCCGGCGAGAGCTCCTCGAGCTGCGCTCGGCCGTGGCGACGAGAGAAAGAGAGAGGACCTTCAGATCCTGGCGTGGCAGTTTGTTCCCAACTCGAAGGGAGACAAGCCGTCATAGACATAACCTTTTGGCGCTCCGCGCGGACTTCTTGGGTCCGCGCTGGGGCCCCCCCCCCCTGGCGGCGCCAGGGGCGCCGCCCCTGGCGCGCTTCGCGCCAGGGAGGTGGGCCCAGCGCAGCTCCAAGAAGTCCGCGCGGGCGGCAACAGTTTATGTTTTTTGCCGTGCGCCTTCCTTCCAGCAGCGGGCGTGTTCGCGGCGCTGCAGCTTTTGCAGATCTTTTTGCGCTGCAATCGGGCCGGACGAAAGGGGGGGATTGGGAAAGGGGGGGGGTACGAAATTTGCTGCATGCAGCCGGTTTCGGCCTCACCGAGGGGCCCATTCCTCGACACATAGCCGCATCCGGCGCCGGGAGAATCAGCTGCGTGAGCTGATTCTCAAGCCCCCCCTTTGGTGTCCCCCCCTTTCGCCCGACCCGATGCAACTAATTTATACCTCGCTCCTCCCGCGGCCGCGCTCTGCATCTGTGTCGCTTCCTCCCGCGGCCGCTCCTCTTGCCCCATCTTTTTCTTTTTTTGCGCACCCCGGCCATTCGCAGTGCCGTCGCCTGGCTTGCTGAGCGCTGCGGCGTACAGAAGTGTTCGCCCTGTTTCGGGCCCTGGCTTGGCATCGCTCGGACGTATGCATTTTTCCGTCGGCGAGGACCATCGAGGAGCATCCTTGATCATTTGGCGAAAAAACCACGCACGAAACCAAAAAAAAACACAGGGAATGGACGTCCGAGCGATGGCCAGCTGGGGTCCTCGAAGATCGATCCGGCTCGACAGCAGACGCAGGAAGAGGGTGCGGGGCTCCAGTCGTGATGTGTCTCGGAGGGGCAAGAGGTCATGATAATGATAATTACGCTTCTGGATTTCCCAGGACTCCACGAATTCCCATGGTTCTCAGTGCTCCGCACCGGCTGCGCCGCCAGATGCTCTGGAGATCCTGGACCGTTTCCTGCGCCAATCTCGTGATGGCACATCCTTCTCGCCCTGTTTTTTGTTGCGGTGTTGCAAGTGGTGTGCCACGCTGGACCTCAGGGGAGGGGCACGCCCGCGCTGGCGTCGCCGCGCCGAGGACCCCATATGGCCGGCAGCGACGCCGATGCCGCCCCCGGCGCCGCCGCGCCCGCCTCGGCGAAGCTGGGCGGAGAGGCGGAGGCGTGCCCACGCAGACAGACACAGACGCAGACACACATGAATCGTAGACACAGACACACATGAATCGTCGATTCGATCTCTAAGGAAGCTGTGGCACAGATGTTAAAGTGAAGGGGAAGACGAGCATCCAGAAGCTCAGAGCGTGAACTACCTATACCCCGCTTTCGCTGCCAGGCAGAACCAAGTCATCCCACGCGCCTCCTCGTCAAGCGGCCTGACCAGTACAGGCCGTGGTTTGGCATCGCTCGGTATCTCTTGGAAGCGAGGGTGGTCAAAAGCGAGGTAGGCTTGTCTGCCCCCTATGATGTTCCGCACCGGCTGCGCCGCTAGATGCAGTCAACCCGCACAGCGAGGATGGGCAAGCTTCCCAAGGGTACCCTGGCACCCTTCCCCTTCGGCCCATCCTTGGCCGCTCTCGCTGGCGACGCCCCGCTCGCGGAGCGTCGACATGGCCCTCCGAGGCCCTTGCATCCTTATCGTGCGTTCTTATGATACGGGTTGATTGTACTCTGGAGATCCTGGAAGGTATTCTGAGCTGTTCTTATGATTCCATCCTTCTCGCCCCAGCTCCGGCTACGGCTTCGGCGTGGAGCCAAGGCCTTTGCAGGACCCGCACGAGAGACCCGCTAATGAGTCAGAGAGATACCTATCGGTCAGGGAGGATGGAGTTGGGAGGAGGGGCCATATCGTCCCTATGATCGCGTAAGTTGAATGGGCTCATTGAGCAGTCGCGCCCTGTGCCTTCCCAACCCCTTGCGTTATTGGGTCGGGAGTATGGAGCTGGGAGGAGTGACCATCTCATCCCTATGATCGTGAAGGTTGAATGGGCTCATTGCGCAATCGCGCCCTGTTATCTTCCCAGCCCCTTTGCTCACCGGGTCGGGAGCATGGGGCTGGGAGGAGTGACCATGTCATCCCTATGATCGCGTAGGTTGATTTGGGCTCATTGCACAGTCGCGCCCCGTATCTTCCCAACCCCAGCCGAAGGGGATATTTGCATACGCCCCCCAATCTCCTCTGCTGTGCGCTCCGCCGCCTCTGGCTCAAGCCAGCTGGTCAGAGCGGCTGCAAACCAAGCTGCAAAGCCTTCTTTCAGAGCGTGAACTACCTATACCCCGCTTTCGCTGCCAGGCAGAACCAAGTCATACCACGCGCCTCCTCGTCAAGCGGCCTGACCAGTACAGGCCGTGGTTTGGCATCGCTTGGTATCTCTTGGAAGCGAGGGTGGTCAAAAGCGAGGTAGGCTTGTCTGCCCCCTATGATGTTCCGCACCGGCTGCGCCGCTAGATGCAGTCAACCCGCACAGCGAGGATGGGCAAGCTTCCCAAGGGTACCCTGGCACCCTTCCCCTTCGGCCCATCCTTGGCCGCTCTCGCTGGCCACGCCCCGCTCGCGGAGCGTCGACATGGCCCTCCGAGGCCCTTGCATCCTTATCGTGCGTTCTTATGATACGGTTTGATTGTACTCTGGAGATCCTGGAAGGTATTCTGAGCTGTTCTTATGATTCCATCCTTCTCGCCCCAGCTCCGGCTTCATGCTGTATTTCATTCGGCTCTACACCTTGCTTCCCGTTCTCCTTGCGGCTCTCTTCTGGAGCGCCCTCCGGCGCTCGAACTACCCTTGGGTCGGGCGTGTCCCCCTTGCAGGCGGATCTTGAAAGGGAAAGGGACAAAGACCCAAGCAACTACCAAGACGCCGTCAAGCAGAGTCGAAGAATTGCCCGCAGACCATTTTTTTCTTACTCTCTCTTTGCAGATTCCTCCCGTAGAGGGACGTGCCCGACTCGAAACGATACCTCCCTCCCAGCACGATCACAGCTCTGGAGGCCTCGCTCCCCGCGAGGGGCCGCCCGGGACATCCGCCGCTTGCCGTTCGAGCTCTGCTTCGGCCCGACTCCGCCCCGCTCCGCGCAGGGCCCGAACGCTCGCGCGGCCATGGCGTGCTGGGCAGTGCAGGCTCCTGAGTCGGGGGAGCGTAAGACCCGGGTTTGCCAGGACTCGGGTTCGCCATCGTTTTTGACGACCGCGCCTCGGATTTTGACGAGGAGGAGTTTCGTGGGATGTCTGCAGCGGGAGGCCTCGTCAAAATGCAGGCTCGGCCTCGTCATTTTTTTGACGACCTCGTCGGGGATTTCCGAGTCCACTGTACCCAGGTCTTACGTCCCCCTGACTGAGGAGCCTGCACCGCCCAGCACGCCATAAAAACGCCAGAAACATCGATTGTCATAAAACACAATAAAAAAACACCATGAAACATCAAAACGCATAAAACAACGCCATAAAACGCATTGTCTTTAAAAAACATAGAAAACGCATAAAAAAACGCCATAAAACGCCTGAGGAGGCTCCTCTCGAAGAAAACAACGCCATAAACATAAACTGTTGGCGCTCCGCGCGGATTTCTTGGATCCGCGCTGGGGCCCCGCAGCGGCGCCTCCGGCGCCGCCGCTGGCGCGCTCCGCGCGCCAGGGGGTCGCGCCCAGCGCGGGTCCAACGAATGCGCGCGGAGCGCCCACAGTTTCTGCTCATGGCGGTACTTTCTTCTTCTGTCTTCCGCAGGCTTGTTCCGAGACCTGTGGATTCGAGAGGCGCCACCGTCACAGCTCTGTCGGGATGGGGTGGCCTGAAGTTGGGGCACGAAGGTGCCACATCTTGGGATGCAGCTGCTCAATCCTGCCTTCTCTGGCTCAATGGCCCCTCAATCGGGCCTCTTAGCCTTCATTAATAAGTCAGACGAAAGCCTCTCAGGAGATTCCTCTTTGCCCACCACCGTTGTACAGTGAGGGGCGATCGCCGTGGCAGTACTGCACAACGGCGATGACCAGGTCACGACAGTGGACGATCACGTGGGAAGGGCGTGGAGAGGGACGAGGTAGGTAAATGGGAAGGTTCATGGAAGAGTTGGAGGAGGAGAGGGGGGATTCGGCATGAGGAAGGAGAAGAAAAGCAGATGAGGAGGAGGAGGAGGAGGAGGAGGAGGACCAGTGCAAACCCAATACTCGTAAACGATGTTCGAATACACCCTCCCTTCAAGCTCACTCTTATAGGCCCCACACAAGGGTTCATTTCCACTGAAGGAAAGTGTCCCGTTGGGACACAATCGTTTGAAGATCCTGAGGCGTGCCACAAACTATTCTCGGGATCCCAACGCCACGAATCAACCTGACAGTTGCGTCTTGAAGATGCTGAATCGTGCCAGAACGCCATTCCTGGGAATCCAGCACCGCGAATCATTGCAACTGTTGCTCTCTGGCAACCCTGAATCGGTCCAAAACGCAATTTCAGGTACGTTAGCCATGAGAATCCGTGAAGCTCTGACAGATGTGTAAGACGAGTGTGCACGGCTTTAGGCGAGAGCACGATGTGTAAAAGGATTCGCCCTCAATATGTGAAACTCATGCGAACTGTTAAGACGGGTGTGCGGCGCTGAAGCGAAAACCACACTTGCAAACAGCCCGCCCTCACTCTGTGACAATTGTTGTATCTTGTTAAGTCGATGTGCGCGGCGCTAAGGCGAAAACCACCTTTTGAAAACGTCCCGCCCTCAATCCGTGAAGGTCTTGTATGTTTCAGGACGAGCGTGCGCTGTAAGACGCGTGTGCGCGGCGCCAAGTCTAGATACACATTTTGGAAGCAACCCGAATGTGTTGTCAATTCTTCAGCTTCAGGATCATCAATGGTGAGGAAGTCTTGGGCTCAATTCCTGGCCCGCCCGACTGGCCCCATGGTGCGACAGGGAGGATAAGGAACAGGAATGGATGAGAGGACAAGGACAGGGAAGAGGCCTCCTACTCAGTCCTCCTCGTTCTCCTGCTCCTTCCCTCCTCCCCTCCGCCTCCACGAGGCAGGATCAGCCTTCGCCTCGTGCTTCCGCCCTCCCACAGCTCTCTCCAGCCCGCCGAAGGCCTCCGATTGGGCCTCCCGTTGGGCCTCCGACTGGGCCTCCGACGGCCGCAGGCCGTCGACTGGGCCGCCGAAGGACCGGTAGCATGCAGGGGGGCTGGCGGCGGCCCGCCCACCCGGCTTCCGAGCCCAGACCCCCTCGCGTCGTGAGAGAATCGTTCTAGGCCTCCCAGATGGGGCGGGAGTGGACGCGGTCGGAGGATCGCGCCGCATCGCCGATGCATCGGCGATGCGGCTCGATGTGGGGCTCAATTCTCTCCACGCCGACGTCGCCGATGCATCGCTGGCGTCGCCAGTGCATCGCCGATGCAACGCCGATGCATCGCCGATGTATCGGCGACGCGGTGCGATCCTCCGACCCTATCTACTCCTTGGCATCGCTCGGACGTGTGCATTTTTCTTTCTGCGAGGACCATCAAGGAGCATCCTGGATCATTTGACGAAAAAACACGCACGAAACCAAACAGAACACAGGGAATGGACGTTCGAGCGATGGCCAGACTCCGACCCCATGTGGGAGGCCCCGAATCGCGACGTGAGGTTTTTCGCGATTTTCGACCTCCCAGGGCCCTCACCGGGCCTCGCCACCGCCGTCGGCAAGGACGGCTCAAGACGAGGCGCGGGTCCCGGGAAAGGGGTCCTCCTCCTCCTCCTCCTCCTCCTCCTCCTCCTCCTCCTCCTCCTCCTCCTCCCACTCCTTCTCCTCCTCTTCCTCCTCCTCCTCCTCCTCCTCCTCCTCCTCCTCCTCCGCCGCGAAGCGAAAGCCCGGCGTCGGAGGGCGGGGGAGCGCGCTCGCCAGGCGCCCGCCCAGGAGCACACCAAGGCCGCACGGTCCGTCTCGCTGGCGGCGGGCCCGGAGGTCACCCCCGACGACGAGGAGGAGGAGGAGGTCCCCCGCGAGAGGAGACCGGGTGTGCTCAGCTGCCCTGAGACACGCCCCGTGGTGGAGACGCAGCGCGTGCCGTGTCCAGAGCGTCCGTGTTATAACACGCTGCGTGTTGGCCCGGGGTGCCCCCCCGACGACCAGGAGGAGGAGGAGGAGGTCCCCCGCGAGAGGAGACTCAGAGCGTGAATTGCCTACCCCGCTTTCGCTTCCAGGCAAAACCAAGCCATACCACGCGCCTCCTCGTCGGGCGGCCTGACCAGTACAGGCTGCAATTTGGCATCGTTTGGTATCTCTTGGAAGCGAGGGTGGTCAAAAGCGAGGTAGGTTTGTTTTCCCCCTAGAGACGGGGGTGCTCAGCTGCCCTGAGAGACGCCCCGTGTGGAGACGCAGCGCGTGCCGTGTCCAGAACGTCCGTGTTATGACAGGCTGCGTGTTGGCTCGGGGGCGGAGCGGTCCACGTTTTGGCGAACGTGCAGCCAACCAGCCCAGTAATGGAGGATGACGATCAATAAATGACCGGGGGTCGTGTTCACGCGGCGGCGCCTGGGATGACGATTAGAAAAAACCAGCCGCGGGCTGGAACACTATTCTTTTCAATCGTTCTCCTCCAGTCAGAAAATTATGCAGAAATAGCAAGAAACTTTTTTTTAATCGTTCGCCTCCATTTTTTTAATTAATCGCCATCCCGCATTAAGGACGCGCACCTTCATCTAGGTCACCCTTGTGACCTTGCCTCTGCGGCCCTTCCTTTGACGTCTTCCCTGGCCCCCTCCTGGGTTAGGCTACTCTTGCGTCCCTGGGGTTTTGGTCGCCCGCCGCTCAGACAATCCCAACCTCGGCCTCCAAGGATCTTGCGTCCTTGCCACCCTTCCTCAATAGTTTTACCGTATCGCGCCAGACACACGTTTTCAGTCTGCGTGTTGAGCCCCGTGTCAACACCCTACGTGCTGCGTGTTGCGTATCGGTGAAACTATGGACGCTTGAGAAGGGAAGGAGACGCGACACCAACACCACCAGGGGGCCACCTCCAGCGAGGAGGTCCACGATGCCTCCCCAGGGGATGGGGGATGGGGGAGGTCTCGAGCGACAAGTGGAGGGGGACCCACCCCACCACCAGGGGGGGCCCTCCCTGGCTTCTTCCGCTCGTGGTCCCTGGTGGTGCTGGTGTCGCTTCTCCATGCTCCCCGGGTGACCCAGCGTGGCGCCAACCGCACGATGAGGTCCGCGCCGCCTCGACGCGGCGGCGACGCCCGCGCGGGCGTGCTGGGTTGAGCGCCCTCCAGGGGGCGGGGCCTCCGGGCCCCAGGAGGGCCCTTCGGAGAACAGCCCCACTCAAGCAGTGGCGAAGCCTCCTGGCTCGCCAAAAGCCCCACCAGACAATGTTCGAAGAACCTTTTGTGGTTCCCACGACATGTTCTCAGAACATTTCTGGCTGGGCCTGTCTTGTTTTAGCGCATCGGGTTTGTGTTATGAGAACATCGTTCGTGCTCTTAGAACGTTTTTGGGTTCTAAGAACTTTTCGTGGTATGGCTATAGGAATGCCGGGACGGTCGGTCCCTGCTCAACCCACGGCGTCGAGTCCGTGCGGGAGGTGCGGTCGAGAGCTCCTTGTGGCAGGACTCCAGGTTTTCGAGATTCTGGGCCTCCTAGATGGGGTCGGAGTAGAAAGGGTCAGAGGACCGCGCCGTATCCCCGATGGCACCTCCGATGCGGCTCGATGTGGGGCCCGACTTGCTTCACGTCCACGTCGCCGATGCATCGCCGACGTCGACGATGCATCGCCGGTGCATCACCGCTGCATCGCCGGTGCACCGCCGATGTATCGGCGGCGCGGCGCGATCCTGGGGCCCCAGGTACTCCGACCCCATCTAGGTGGCCTCTAGCTTAGCATTCAGCATCCGAGCTGGTTGACCACGCTCGGTAACCATTCGGGAGACTCTTCATGGGGGGGGATCCCATGGGTGGATAGGATCCCAGGGGGGGATCCCATAGGATCCCCTGGGGATCCCATGGGGGGCAGGAGGGGATCCCATGGGGGGGATCCCCTCCTGCCCCCCCATGGGATCCCCCCCCATGGAGAGTCTCCCGAACCATGTTGGGTCGGTAAGACCTGCCGGGGGACACCAGCCGCGCTTGCGGCGGTGCCCCCCAGCAGCGGCGGAGCTCGCACAGGGCCGAGCGGCTCACGCGGGCGCGGGCGCGGCAGTGCAGGGCCGAAGTCACCGAGCGCCTTCCACGACCCGCAAAGTGCCGACTCGCAGACGTCAGAACAAAACCACATGTCTGCATCGACTCCTCCTCCTCCTCCTCCTCCTCCTCCTCCTCCTCCTCCTCCTCCTCCTCCTCCTCCTCCTCCTCCTCCCCTCCTCCCCCTCCTCCCCCTCCTCCTCCTCCTCCTCCTCCTCCTCCTCCTCCTCCTCATCCTCCTCCTCCTCCTCCTCCTCCAGGCCATTTGCGAGCAGTTGTTTTGCGCGTCGTGGAGCGCGCATGTCTGTGGAGGCTCCCGGCAGCCTCCTTGGGAGCTCCCCCCCCAGGAGGAGGGCGGAGGAGGAGGGCGGAGGTCGCTCACGGCTGTGAGCGGCTCACTCGAAGAAGAAAACACATTATAAACATAAACTTTTGGCGCTCCGCGCGAATTTCTTGGATCCGCGCTGACCCCCCCTGGCGGCGCCTCCAGCGCCGCCCCTGGCGCGCTTCACGCGCCAGGGAGGGAGGGCCCAGCGCAGATCCAAGAGATCCGCGCGGAGCGCCAACAGTTTGTGCTTATGTGGTTTGTCCGTTGTCTACCCAGGAGGAGGGCGGATGTTGATGGGCCTGTTTTCCACCACCAGCACCATATGTTGGAGGGGGAAGGGGGTCCTCCTCCACCCCCCCCTCCTCCTCCTTCTCCTCCTCCTCTTCGTCCTCCTCCTCGTCGTCCTCCTCCCCCTTGCCCCCTCCAACTTGTGGTGGTGGTGGTGGAAAACGAGCCCATCAGAGGTCGCTCACGGCCGTGAGCGGCCCACGCGGCGACGCAGGCCGGAGCCCGCGCCGTCGTGGCGCCGGCAGGTTGCTCGCCGTGTCCGCCCGGGGGTGCGGCTGGGGGCTCGGCCCGTCTCGTGGGCCCAGGGTCGTGGCCCCCCGTCGCGCCCCTCGAGCCAGCCAGGAAGGCGTCTTCCCTCCTCCTCCTCCTCCTCCTCCTCCTCCTCCTCCTCCTCCGCTCCTCCTCCTCCCCCTCCTCCTCACCCTCCTCCTCCTCCTGCTCCTTCTCCTCCCTCCTCCCCCTCCTCCTCCCCTCCCCTGCTCCCTTCTCCTCCTCCTCCCTCCTCCTCCTCCTCCTCCTCCTCCTCCTCCTCCTCCTCCTCCTCCTCCTCCCCCTCCTCCTCCTCCTCCTCCTCCTCCTCCTCCTCCCTCCTCCTCCTCCTCCTCCTCCTCCTCCCCCTCCTCACCCTCACCTCCTCCTCCTCCTCTCCTCACCCCCTCCTCCTCCTCCTCCTCTCCTCCTCCTCCTCCTCCTCCTCCTCCTCCTCCTCCTCTCCTCCTCCTCCCTCCTCCCTCTCTCCTCCTCCCTCCTCCTCCTCCTGCTCCTCCTCCTCCTCCTCCTCCTCCTCCTCCTCCTCCTCCTCCTCCTCCCCCTCCCTCCTCCTCACCCTCCTCCTCCTCCTCCTCACCCTCCTCCTCCTCCTTCTCCTCCGCCTCCTCCTCCTCCTCCTCCTCCTCCTCTCCTCCTCCTCCTCCTCCGCCTCCTCCTCCTCCTCCCCCTTCTGCTCCTCCACCTCCTCCTGCTTCTCCCCCCCCCTCCTCCTCGTCCTCCCTCGTGCCTCCTCAAGGTGAAGTTTTCAAACAGTCAAACAAGACGACGAGTGCGCACGGAGCGTGCCTTCCTAGCTGCACTCTCGTCGGAGGCACAGTCCACCCGCATAGCAGGGATGGGCAACCTTCCCAAGGGTGCCCCTTGCATCCTTGCCTCCTCGGCCCACCCTTGACCACTCTCGTTGGCCGCGCCCCGCTCGAAGAGTTTGGAAAGGTGCGTCCAAGACTCGTGCACCCCTGTCGCGCATCCTTCTGATACGGGCCGACTGTAGTTTTGCTATAGCCTCAGAGCCAGACAGCGCGGCATCCAATCGCCGAGTAGAGAGCGAAGAACGCCTTGTTGGTCAGCGTAGGCCCCAAACAGTGATCTCCTGAAGTGGTGCAGTCAATGTGGCGCATTCTAGGCCGAGCCGCCCATGTGCTGCAATCTGTTTTTTGTTGATTTTTTAACACAAAAAACGCAAAGCAATGCAATGCAATTCGACGCAACGGTCTATGACGAGGCGGCGACGGGGCGGACCCGGCGCGCAGGCGAGAGTGACGGGCGGCGATGAGGCGGCAACGGGGCGGCGTCGGCGACCACACGGCCGCCAGACCGACGCGCAGGTCCATGTCTTCAGAGATCAAGAGCGAGCCCGCAAGGGCAAGCGCTGTTTGGGGGAACCTCGAGACTAGCAGGGCAGCGACATGTCCCCGTGCTGGGAAGGCCCCAGCATGAATCGACGACGATGTTGCGTAAACCAACAATGGGACGGCAATCGATGAATCGATGAGGCCACCTGGGTGTGCAAACCAACATTGGTTTGGCCTTCTTTCCGTAGGTATGCGTTGTGTGCGCCCACGCGCCTCGGCGTAAGGCTGAGTATCGGAGGTGGATAGACCTCCTATCCTGACACGTCGATTAAGGAACTGGCCGTTTTCGGTTCGCGAGAGGGCGTCGCGGCCGTCATTTTTGCGGGTCCAGGTCCGTCGTTTTCGGTCCCAGGCCGTTTTCACTAAGGGGAGGTTTACTACAGGGAGGTTTGTCCACCGCCGAGAGTAGTGGCAGCTGCAGCTTATTCCAGAACGTGGTGGGCCTGGCTTCACCGACCCCTGGCCCGGGATCGGCCTGCCTGGGATCGCTGCAGGCGGGCACAGTCGGCAAATCAGACAAGAAATCGGCCTGTCAGCAGGTGTCGCGCAGAAGCTTTTGATCCCACGATGGCCCCAGGGAGCCAGAGAAGCTCTGGGGCACCCTAGGACCCTCAGAGATCGATGAAGAGGACGTCCCCATCTTGTGTCCGGCATAGCAGAAGTTCTTCTCGTGCGTATGCGCTGTAGCCTGAACTCGGGCATGTCCCTCTACAGGAGGAGTATCCAAGAATAGTCAAAACATTGTGTGGGGACGCTTTTTTTGTATGCTGGACTATTCTTGAATCTCTGTCCGACTTTTTTCGCCCAAGATCTGCCTGTAGGAGGACACGCCCGACCTACCTGCAGCCGGCAGCGGCGCCCCCCCCCCCCCGAGGAGAAACACGGCGGAGGTCCTCGAGTCCGTGAAGGAGAGGGCCAAGCAGGCGCGCGCTCGGGGCAGGGTGGCCCGCGGAGCCGCCCGACAGCGAGGGGCGGAGTGGGCGGGGACGATGGCGGAAGGCTCGGGGGCCGCGCGGAGGCCCTTGCCTCCCAGGCAGCAGGCCTGCTGGCAGGTCCACCAAACATGTTGTATAAGGATCTGGTGTGGTTGATCGGGCATGGTTCTGAGGAGCACTCCTGGCCGGGGCAGTCTTGGTTTGAAGCGCCGGCGCCACGCTATCAGAGCGTTGCGTTTGGATAGAAGCTTCTGTTCCCCTTCTTTGAACACGTCGCGCTATGCTTATCATAGGGACACCAGGGCGGTCGGCCCCTGCTCAACGGCGGGCCCTCAGGGTCCAGGCGTCCAGGCTCATGGGGAGCGTGAGTCACTTCGGCCCGCCGCGTGATAAAGTGTCGGTGCAGACGCGCATCATCGTGGAGGAGCGGGAGCAGGCGAGCAGGGATGGCATCGCGGAGCAGCGGAAGAACCTCGCGAGAGGAGACGCCGCCTTTGCGAGGGAGGGCTGGTGGAGGCAGGGGTGACGGATTGTCGGAGATCGTTGAGTATTCCAGGCGGCAAGACCAAAACAGCCCTGGTCGGTCCCATCCTTGGCCCTGGACCGACGCATGTACTTCTCGTGCCCAGCCCAGGAGTCCGCACACACAGAGGGTCGGGGAGTGCCGGAGGTGGTGAGTGTCGTCGGTTTCTGAGGTTGTCTTCCTCATTCTCCCACCTGGTTCCCTTGCCCACTTTTTTCCTCTGCCGCCCTTCTTTCCCCAGTCTCTACTCATTCTGCCTCCGCCTTCCTCATTCTTTGCTCCTGCCCATTCAATCCAACCTTCTGCCCATTACCCTCCTCGACAGTCTTCTCCTCTCAATTTGTTTCCTGCTCCTCGGGCTGGTCCTCCCTCCTTGCTCCAGATGAGCGGCCCTGCTCTCGTCTGGCTTCACGATGCTTGTATCTCCAAGCACGGACAGCAGTTCTAATCTATGCCAATCGTGCTACTGCCCTTTGGCACTTGCATCTGCGAAAGTTTGGGTTTGCCCAGAGGCCCGATGCTGGTCTACTGTCGCAAGTGGGTTTCGTCCGCGTGTTGTCCACCCTGGTACATCATGCATCGGGCGTCCGTCATTAACGCAGCCGTTGTCATGACGAACAAGACGGGTGACAAAGGGCTGCCTTAGCATGAGCCTCATTTCTGGTCCCGCAGGGACGACGCGGCCAAGCCGGGTCCCCTGATCATCTTCGTCAAATGCTACTATGCGCGTGCACGCGTTTAGCAGCAATCATAAATTAGCAATGGTCCATTGCAAAGCACGTCGCGCAGTCCATACGCGCAGATCGTCGCGTGCGCATGCCGGAATATTTCAGCAGTTTTAGATGTCGTAAGGATTTGGAGACCGAGGTTCCCGAACACATTTGAGACAACCAAGGGTGTTGCAAACATATTTTGTTTTACAAGCTGATGCGCGCGTGTTCTTGCGATTGTTTCAGAGAGCGATGGAATTTATGTACACCAAATTCGACCAGACGGGTCTCTCGCGCGCGCATGCCAAAATCATTCGAACGCCCTTGCGCGCGTGGTGGGGGGTTGGGGGAAACGATCCTTTTTCAAATCACACCATGCTGGCCACTCGTGCCCACTGGCCGCGCGCGCACTCCGCAATCTTTCCATACATGACCGTCACCACCGACACGCGGGCACCGTCATCGAGTCGGCGTGATCAGCAGCGCTGCTCTCAGTGGCCTTGCTACCGTCACCGTCGCCACCGGCATCGCTGCAATCATCACCGCGTCCGCCGTTGCCGACGTCACCAGGATACGGTAGGTTTGCGTCGTGTCGACCAGCGGCGAACCCAGCGCGGGCGTTCAAGGTTGAACGCCGCCGGCGACCCAGAATCGATCGATGTTGAACGATCGGACGTTGCGGCAGCGGCCGATCGTTCAAGGTTGAACGATCCCTGCGGTGTCAAAAACCAACGCTGGGGTCGGCACGACACGAACCTGCCGTACCGCGCCCGCCCGAGTCACCGACTCGCTTCGAAAGTGCCCGCGCGCCCGCGAGGCCAGCGATGGGGAAGTCCCCAGCGGTTCGCGCCACCTCGGCCGCGTCGGTCGCGCCCGGCGTCGGCCGACGTCACCAGGATACCGCGCCCGCCCGAGTCACCGACGCGCTTCGAAAGTGCCCGCGCGCCCGCGAGGCCGGCGATATGGGGAAGTCCCCAGCGGTCCGCGCCGCCGCGGCCGCGCCAGTCGCGCCCAGAGCAGCATGGCCGCTCTCTGCGCGCGGGCCTGCGCGCTAGCGGCGCGGCCGCGGCGAGGCGCGCCAGCCAACGGCAGACACTCGTCGCAAGCACCGCCGCTTGGGTTTTGCTGACCAAGCTGCGGGCGGGCGGGTGGGATGATTCCGCGATCAGTCGGGTTGACAACTTCGGGTTCGGCAGAATGATCAGAGCCCCGAATCATCAGGGGTAACTCGGGTCAGGGCTAAGTCGGGTTCGTTTTTCGGGAATCCGAACCCGACTTAGTGACTTTCGCGCGCCCGCGAGGCCAGCGACGGGGAAGTCCCCAGCGGTCCGCGCCGCCGCGGCCGCGCCGGTCGCGCGCCCGGCCAGCCATTGGCCGCTCCGTGCGCGGGCCGGCCTGCGCTACCCAGCGCGGCCGCGGCGGTGCGCCAGCCAACGGCAGGCACTCGTCGCAAGCACCGCCGCATGGATTCTACAGGCTTACGCCACATCCGCCAGGAGGAGGAGGAGGAGGAGGAGGAGGAGGAGGAGGAGGAGGAGGAGGAGGGGAGGAGGAGGAGGAGGAGGAGAGGAGGAGGGAGGAGGGGGGGAGGGGAGGAGGAGGAAGGAGGAGGAGGAGGAGGAGGAGGAGGAGGAGGGGGAGGAGGAGGGGGAGGAGGAGGAGGAGGAGGAGGAGGAGGAGGAGGAGGAGGAAGAGGAGGAGGAGGAGGAGGAGGAGGAGGAGGAGGGGGTGGGGTTGGCATGTGGCCCCCTAGCGACGGCGCGCAGGCCACCTTCTGTGAGTGTTGCGAGGCCAGGAGTTTCTGGCCAGCGGCGTCTTGTGTGACGGTGCGGTGTCGCGCGCGGGCGGTGGCGGATACGCAGGGGGCCCACATGTCTGCGTGATTCCGGTGGTCTGGGGCGTGCTTTGCGAGCGCTTTGCGTGCTGTGCGCCCGGAGGCGCTCGTCGCGAGTACCGCCGCATGGGTTTTGCAAACCAAGCTGCGGGCGGGCGGGTGGGATGATTCCGCGAGCAGTCGGGTTGACAACTTCAGGTCCGGCAGAATGAATCGCACCACGCAGGTTTTTTTTTACAACAGGTATAGATTCTACCACCCGCTCCCCCTGGACGCACCCACTCACCGGGAACCGATGCAAAACACATGTGATTCTGACCAAATGTCCATCCGACCTGTGAGTTCATATTATCCCAGCCAGCCGGTATCGACCCCCCCACCATCCTTTCTGCGAAACATTCTATGCGCACGCATTCGTTTATCAAAAGTCTTAAATGTTCAAGAACCCCTTGCAACATATGAGACGAAGTGCTCACGCGCGTTTCGTCGCGCGCGCATGCCGCAATCTTTCAAAAACTCCCGGCTTCGGAAGGATTTCAAAATCGAATGTTCCAAACACATATAAAACAATTGGTTTCGCAACGCGGGTTCTCAAAACAAGCACGCAAGCGTTCTTGCAAGGTCTTAATAACACATATTTTCAACGTCTTCATAACATCACGACATCATACCAAGCGGGCTTCGCGCGCGCGTATGCCGAAATACTTCGAGCGCCCTTACGCGCGTGCCGTTGCGAGAACCCCTTGCAACACATGAGACGAAGTGCGCGCGCGTGGTCGCGCGCGCGCCTGCCGGATCCTTCAAAAACCTTCGGCTTCAGAAGGATGTCGAAATCGAGTGTCCAAACAACATGCACACGCACAGGGTTTCGCAACGCGGATTTTCAACAAAAGCGTGCGCGCTCATGCCAGCGAATTCTGAAGAAAACCATCAGTTCTTCAGCATATTCATGAAGTGCTACCAAACGGGCTTCGCGCGCGCATGTCGAAATCGTTAGAACGCCCTCTGCGCGCGTGCTTGTGTGGCACGATCCGTGTGAAATTAAACCATGTGAGCCACTCTGGCGCGTCTGCCGCGCGCGCATTTCGAATTCCTTTTAATACCTTCATCTCCGACGCGAATACGCCGTCATCGTCGTCGGCGTGAACGGCGTCGGCGCCGTCACTGGCCGCGCTGTCGTCGCTGGCAGCATCGTCGCCAGCATCATTGCTATCATCATCGCGCGTTACCAGTTGTAGGCATTGCAGCTTATGGAAGGCATTCTGCGTTGTAGTATGTATATACATATATATGTTGTGCAAGGTCTTTGGTGCAAGCTGCGTGGTGCAAACTTGGCGGCGCAACCTGCATGGTTCAGCCTATGGGGTGCAATGTATATGTGGGCCCACATGCGCGGTGCAATCGACGCAGCTCCAGTGCGCACGCAATCAGCCCACCCCCTCACCAGAAACTTTTTGTTGCAGAACCCATGCGGCTGCCATTACGGTGACTGATTGGTACTGATTGGCGCATTTTTGCGGGTGAATTACCGCGCGTAATAAGCCCGCACGCAGAACACAACCGATGTGGCCGCGATGGTGTTGTCTGGTTGGAATGTCACCGCGCGTCTCAAAGGTCGCGCTGGTTCCCGGGCACTTCAGTGCGGGTCGGTAACCCTGGCGGGCGCGGTATCATGATGACGTCGACAGCGGCGGCGACGGTTATGATTTCAGCGGTGGTAGTGGCGATGACGATGACGACGGCAAGGCCAATGACGACGCCATTGTTGGTCACGATGGCGATGATGATGTCCATGTGCTGGTGATGAAGCTGATTGACTGATGATGGCGATAATGGCGGTGATCGGCGATGACGGTAATTGCGGTGAAGCGGCGGCGCTGAATCAGGGCGATAGCGAAGGAGTGCGCTCTCGGAAATGCCAGACAGCTGTTAAGTTTTTGGTCGAGGAATACTTGTTCACATGTGTCTGAAGCGCTTTATCTTGAAATGCGCGCGCGTGGCGGCCCGCGCGTGTGGCGGCACGCGCGTGTGGCCCGCATGGTATGCATTGTTACGGTTTCGTGCGCATCGGCGCATTCTAGATCAGCGCGGATGCACCGGGTGTGGTCCACACCGGCTGGCTTGGGAGGTCAGAATTAATCTGCGCGAGGGACGATGAGACAAAACCATATTCAAACGGTGTTACCCCACGGTGTATCGATAAGTATTGGGTGCGGCTGGTGGATTCTATTTCTCTTTGGAGATGGAAGTATCTGTGATTCCGTAAACGGGCTAACGGCGACATAGGCAACGGCGATGTAGGTGCCGGTATTGTGGAATTGCGTGGCTCGCGCTTTCCTGCAGTTCGCTGTGTCGTGCTCGCTCGATCCATTCGCAGATGGGAGATGTAGGAAAGTGTGGCTTGTGATTTTCCACAAATTCGGTTCCCAGCACTACCGAGAAGCAACCTCGCCGTTATCCCGGCCTTGGCGATTGCAATCTATGCGTGCGTCCGTGAGTGGGCGAACGCCCGCCAGCGCACGCGCGGGCCACGCGGCGGCCAAAAGGGCAGCGGCCGGCCGAATACCTCGAAGAAGCCCAGCCTGCGCACAAAGGCCGCCACGAGGAGGCCATTCAAGCAGCTGCGAAGCGTCCTGGTTTGCCTAGAGGCCCACCAAATCATATTCTAAGAACACTTCTGGTTGATATTGCTTTGTTTTCACACTTTGGCTTTATGTTATAAGAAGGTTGTCTTCCTTATTAGAACATGCTTGGGTTTTAAAGAGGTTTCGTGGTACTTCTGTCTATAGGAATGCCGGGACGGTCGGTCCGTGCTCAAGCCACGGGGCCGCGACCCGCCAAGCACCCAGAAGATTCGACCAAAAGCCAGCAGAAATTCAGGGAAGAACAGGCGGCCCTTGCGATGTAGACCTGCCCTGCGCACCCCCAAAGGTAGATTTTGACCCCTCGCGCGCGGTCTACATTCAAGTTACCAGCCTGGAACATGTCCCTATCCCTATGCTGGGAATTTCCTCATCACGATGCCAATCTTAGGGATTTCCTCTTTGTTTTTCAGGGCGAATCCCTACGATTGTCATCGCCTTTTGGCTTGTCAATCTTAGGGATAGGGACGAGTTCGAGGCCGGTGATCGAGGCCCCTCGGGTCGGGGTCAACATCTCAGGGTGCTCAGGTTCCGCGAGGGTCGACACCCCAGGGTCCGCTCGGTCTGGCTCTACCTTGGAGCTCCCTCGCGTGGGTCCGCATTTTGAGGCCCTCCTCGCGGGTAATGGAGGATGACGATTAATAAATGACCGAGGGTCGTGTTCACGCGGCGGCGCCCGGGATGACGATTAGAAAACACCGGCCGCGGGCTGGAAAATTATTTGTTTAAATCGTTCTCCTCCAGTCAGAGACTTGTGCAGAGATAGCAGACAACTATGTTTTTCATCGTTCCCCCCCCCCATTTTTTTATTAATCGTCATCCCGCATTACACATGTCAGCGCCGTCAGCGTTTCGCCGAGGAGCAAGAGCCGCTAGGGCAAGACCTGCCCCGGGAAACCCTCCTCCTCTTTCTCCTCCTCCTCCTCCTCCCCCTCCTCCCCCTCCCCCTCCCCTCCTCCTCCTCCTCCTCTCCTCGTCCTCCTCCCTCCTCCTCCTCCTCCCTCCCCTCCTCCTCCTCCTCCTCCTCTCCTCCCTCCTCCCTCCTCCCTCGTCGTCCCCGTCCGCCCGGCCGCCCCCGCGGCAGGCGCGCCCCGCCCCTCTCCCGGGGGGGGGGGGGCTTCTGCACCGCACGGGGCAGTCACTGTGCCGGTCACGTCCCCAGCACGGAGGAGGAGGAGGAGGAGGAGGAGGAGGAGGAGGAGGAGGAGGAGGAGGAGGCGGAGGCAGGGGTGGAGAGGGAAGGAGGTGGAGGAGGAGGAGGAAGAGGAGGAGGAGGAGGAGGAGGAGGATAAGGAGGAGGAGGAGGAGGAGGAGGAGGAGGCAATGCCAAAATCGCTCCAAACAAACAACGGACATATTGCCCCTTGGCCCCCCGCCAGCCCGAAGGGGCGAGCATATATACGGGCGCAGCACCGAGCTGGATGTGTAGCCTTCGGCTGGGCAAGGCAGGGCTCCCTGACTTCAAACTGCCAGCGAAGTATCCTCACCGCCCTCGTTTAAACCTGCCGGTGCAATATCCTCACACTCTCCCTTAAGATTGCCAGTGAAATATCCTCACCCCCGAGGCTTAGAACTGCCAGCGAAGAATCCTCACCGCCCTCCTTTAAAACTGCCAGCGAAATATCCCCACGCACCTGGCCTAAAACTGTCAGCGAAATATCCCAACAGCCATCGCTTAAAACTGCCAGCGAAGTATCCCCACACTCCTCGCTCAAAACTGCCAGTGAAATATCCTCACCGACCTCGCTTAAAATTGGCAGCGATGTATCCTCACGCCCATCACTTAAAACTACCAGCGAAATATCATCACCCACCTGGCTTAAAACTGCCAGCGAAATATCCCAACAGTCCTCGCTCAAACCTGCCAGCGAAGTCTCCTCGGCGCCCTCATTCAAACCACCAGCGAACTATCCCCATACCACTCACTAAAAACTGCCAGCGAACTATCCTCACCCCCCTGGTCTAAATCTGCCAGCGAACTATTCTCACCGCCCTCGCTTAGAACTTGCCAGGAAATATCCTCACACTCCTCGCTTAAAACTGCCAGCGAGATATCCTCACATTCCTGGCCTAAAACTGCCCGCGAAATATCGTCTTCGCCCTGGCGTAAAACTGCCAGCAAAGTATCTCAACACCCATTGCTTAAAGCAATCCGCGACATATCCTCACGCCCCTGGCCTAAAACTTCCAGCGAGATATCCTCAAACCCCTGACTTCAAACTGCCAGTGAAGTACTCACCGCCCTCGCTTAGAACTGCCAGCGAAATATCCTCACGTCCCTGGCCTAAGTCTGTCAGCGAACCATCCTCACCGCCCTCGCTTAAAACTGCCAGCGCTCACTCACACCCCTCACGTACAACCGCCAGCGAAAAATCCTCACGCCCCTGGCCTAAAGCTGCCAGCGAAATGTCGTCACCGCCCTGACTTAAAGCTGCCAGCGAAATATCCTCACCCCCTCTGGCCTAAAACTGCCAGCGAAATTTCCTCACCCCCCTGACTTAAAACGGCCAGCGAAATATCCTCACCCCCAGAAATAAAACTTCCATCTACTGGTCTTGGTGATTCAGTTGTCAGTTCTGTAAGTCAGTCAATCAGTCAGTCGGTCCACTTTCCGAAAATCGATTTACGGGCTGCGCCCGTACATAAACCTTTGATCTTGGAGGGTCGATTCAGTCTCTCCCTTCTCCTCGCTGCCTCCCGAGGGGTATGCTATTTGAAAAAGATGCGGATCTCCAGAAGCGTTGAGGGCAAACAAGGCGGAGTCGTCGAAGTCCCCGAAGGGGAGGGGCTCGAAGGTGCGGGCCTCGCAGGTCCTGAAGTTCTCCATGGATTCGGTGCCCCACGCGCGGCTCGAACCAATCAGCAGTCATCTCAGCTTGGTCGTTGTCGTCGAGTGCCGAGAGGGACAGAGCGATGCGGACATCAGCGAACCTCCACTCCTCTTTGAGGTAATGTTCGATCCCCGGATTCGCCACTGCTCATCTTCCGCCTCATCTTGATTATTCCACCTGCTCCTCCGTCTCCTCCTCCTCCTCTGACGCCTGCTCTTACGTCTCCGTCTTTTCCGTCTCCTGCCGACCACTTCTTCTCGATCAAACTCTTCGATTTCTCATTCTCCTGCTTCCCCAGCTCTCAATATTGTCTCACCTCCTCCAACTCTCCCCCTCAGATGCTGCCTCTTCATCCTTCTCCTCACTGCGCCTCTCCTCCAACAATTCCTCATCCTCTTTCGTCCATCAACTCTTCCTCCGATAAAGTGGGATGAGGATGTTAATACTGATGAGGGGAAGGGTAGTTTTCTTGGGATGAGCATCCGGTGGACGAGGAGAAAAAGTTTCGCAAGCACAGTCAGGACGCAGTTGTCAGCTCCACTCTTATTCATCATCGGCACGTCAATACGGTAGTGATGCACTTGCTTGCATGTGTGGGTCCCAGGATGGTAAGCCGTAGAGACAAATCTTCTTTGTCCGTTCCTCCACACGGTCTTCCGCCTGCATGTTTTCGTTTTCGAGTTCCTCATCTGCCTCCTCCTTCTCCTTGTCCTCCTCCTCCTCGACATGTTCCTTATCAGCCATATCCCGTACCTCCTCCTCATCCTCCTTCTTCCCTTCTTTCTTCTCCTCTCGTCCTTGTCCCTCCGTGATTTTCCCTCATTCTACTCTTCATCCCCTTCCTCTTTTCCTATTGGCTAGGCTTGCACAGGTCTGCCGACCTCCACAACATGATAGAACTGCACGGTGCATGTTAGATTCATGAATGGGACAGTCGCGGTGGCAAGTCGGCAGTGGACGGCTTTGCAAGCCGCACCGCATTGGAAAGCAGTCACAGGTGCTTTGCACGAGGCAGTGATGGAGTCGGGCTCGTTGGACATGATCGTTGAGCCTGGTCGTTTTGGTCCCTTCGCCCCGGCATGCTGGGGACAGCCCCCCTGGCGGTGCATTTGGAGCAAGCGGCCAAAGATTTCCCCCTCAGCAGGCGACGGGGCCACGCGGGGCAGCAGATCAGCACCTGCTGGTGTCACCCTGACTGTTCGGTTGGCTCCCGCCTCCCCTCGGCACCCGCGCGCCGCTCAGCACTCGGCTCCGGCGCGGCAAGCTCGAGGCGCGGCAGGCAAGTGCGGGAGGCAGGGGACCAACGACGGGGGTGCCGTGCAAGAGAGACAGCCCCCTATCGGCAGGCTGCCCCCCGCCTCCGTGCGGGGGGCGCCGCCGTGCGGGGCGGTCGCCGGGCCTCGCTGCGGCCCGCCGGCATCCACAGGCCAAGGTCTCCTGCGGCAGCTGCGACCTGCCGACCGAGCAGATGAGTAATCGAAGAAGAAACATCGGCATAAACATCGACTCTTGGCGCTCCGCGCGGACCTCTTGGTCAGTGGCCACAGGTGGGCCACTGCTCCTTACTCATTCACAGTAGGGGCGCTGAAGAAGGAACTCTGTTTGGTTGGGGAGGGGCTCCGTGTTCCTTAATTGTTTCACAGTTTGCCTCGCGTTTCCCTTGGACCGCGCTGGGGCCCCCCGGCGGCGCCTCCGGCCCCGCCCCTGGCGCGCTCCTCGCGCCAGGGAGGGGGGTCCAGCACAGATCCGAGAAATCCGCGCGGAGCGCCAAAAGCTCATGTGTATGCCGGTTTTTCTTCTTCCGATTCCTCTTCTAAGTAAGTGGTGTTTACCACCGTCTAACCGTCTACGCAAGTCTCAACCGGCTGGAACAGGCTTCAGGGGTGAGCGGCCTCCCTAACCACTCAGCTGGTGGGCCATCGCGCTGAAGACGCGACGCGGCAAATGGATCACCCATCGGCGGATGCCGCGAGGCGCTAGGCGCGCCTTCAACTGCGAGAGCGCTCGCAGCCGCACGACCTACCACAGCTCGAAGCACAGGCCCTCAGATCAATCAGAGGGCCTCTCTGGTCCTTCGGGCCCCCCCTCCTGCCAGCTGTCGTCCCCGACCTGGGCGGGGCAGAGAGTGGTTAGCATGCGCCGTGGCGCGGCACCACTCGTACCGCGTCCTCTTACGCTCTGGAGAAGCCGAGCATGCGCCCCCCCAATCTGAATACACCCAAAATTTGTTCTGGAGCATTCGAAGAAGAAGATGATGAAAAATAAACGCCAAACATGTATGTTTATGCCGCTTTGCTTTCGTATTATTACTCTTATTTTTATTCTAAGGATTTGGATCTCTCTCGCTCTAGCGGTTGGGAAGCGCGCTAAAGAGTTGTTGTACCCCCATGTGCGCTCAGGGACTTGGCTCTTCAACAGCATGGACCGTTGAAGACCCGCAGTCTCTGGGCCACGCAGAATCTCCCAGCTCACCCCACGACCAGGATGACAGCTCTCCCGATGATGATCGTCCTGATGTTGAATCTGAGGTGTCTTTGACCAGTCGTTGAAACCAGCTTGCCAGGATCACGATGTGGGCGCAGCACTGGGCTCCGAACGTCTGCATTGGCTTGGGGATGCGAACACGTTCGGCAACTGGGTAAGTTGGCGCACCTTGTAAATGGAAGTCCTGCTTGGCCGTGAAATCACAGGCCGCCCTGGCACCCCTCATGGACTTAATGTGTACAGGTTTCTCGGACCCGAGCCGAAGCTGAGTATCTTCGGCGCCACCCCAACAGACTGATATTATGTGTGCGTCGCCCCCCCAGGGGCGACGCGCGCACCGAGACATCTTGCAGTCTAGGCGTCGTGGCGGGCACTTTCTGGCCACACGGTTCGAGAACCGATCTTTTACAAGAAGGGTATACTGTTGGTTCGGCTCGGACGCGCGCCTCCGAGGAGGACGTACAGTACTGGTGTCACAAAGCTTGGCCAGGCAGCAGCATCGCGAGGGGCGCCATCCTCCGCTCCCCGGCGCGGGGGGCTGGCGCGGTTTTCCAGGTGCAGCGCGATATCGAGCCGTCGAGGCCCGCCAGAAGGCCCACGGCGTCACGGAGCATGGGATGATGTGGCGCGGGCTCGGCCTGGCCACGCGGCTGGACGATCAGAAGCCGAAGCACATACCATACCCGGTGATCTTTTGTTTCATTGTTTTGCCGATCGGCGCGGGCCCTCCCCCCCCCCACTCTCGAGCCTTTCGAGCACGGCCCCAAGTCGCTCTCGCGACGCGGCCGAGGCCTAGGCGGCTTGTGCCGCCTAGGCGGGGGGAGCGGCCTTTGCCGCGACGGCGGCGCGCGGCGGGCCCGCCGTGGCCGCGCAGAGATTTCCTCCAGGAGGGCCTCAAGAGGCCAAACGAGAGCGAGGGCCGAGGAGGCCCGGCGCGGGCCGAAGAGGCGAGGGGCCCGACGGCCCAGGGCTCCAGAGCCCTGGGCCCAAAAAGGAGGCACGGGGACGGAAAGGGGGGGGTGAGAGGAAGGATGCCTCCCCATGGAGCATGTATTGGCTGTTTTAGCGCCTGTTCCGAGCAGGTGGAGTCCCCTCATAGGACGCACTGTCGCAAGCCGTCGCACCAGGCAGAGGTCTGGAGCCAGACCCCCCCCCCTTTCCCCCCCTTGCCGCTCACTGCCGAAACGCCGAGTAAAACAACGCTCACCAGTGGCGGGCTGCTCTTGCTTTTCAATCCCAGGGCTTCTTGGGGGGTCGGGGACGGCGTCGGGGTGTGTTGTGGTGCATCGTTGTTGTCCCCGTGTTCCCGGGGAAGCAGCGAAAAAATCCATACACCTGGATCCCGTATTGTGCGAACTTCAGTGCGGGGCCAGAATGCGTCGGTGTATAGAGTTCGGCTCTTCAGATGAGAGACATTTGCTGCTCTTGCCCCAGAAACTGACGTACCTAGTGATGGTACGCGTTCCACTCCACCCACCAACGCCGCCCCCCCTGGACCTGGGCGGACGCATGAGTGAGCAGGAGGCTATCGTCGAGCCCCTTTTTTCTGGCTTCGGCGACGACCTCGAGAGTCCGACGAGAAGATGTAACCGCCGCCCTGCACCTTGGATGGCGACGAGGCGGAATACATCGACGACATGATTCGGGCGGTCGGCAAGGGGGGGTCAATAAGTGGGGGCGAAGAAAAGGGCACCGTGGGGCTGTTCTTTTGGCCTCCAGGTGGGCTTTTTACTCGCCTTTTAGGGTCCCCAGAGTGCCCCTTTCCTGTAACCTGTTGTGCCTCCCCCCCCCCTCCTCCTTCAGACCCCTTGATATCGACCCCCTGCATTGACCCTCCCCCTCCTTGACTTAAGTCGGGCCTGTCCCCCCACAGGGGGATTGTGAACGAACAATAAAACATAGTCAAGCCATGCCCCCACATAGCCAAACAAGACTCAACACACAGTCCCCAGACTCTTTTTTTGACTATTTTGGAATAATCCTCCTGCAGAGGGACACGGCTGACAAGGCGAACATTCACAGCGAGATCTGAGGGTTCGTGTTTTTTTTGTTTTTTCTGCTGCGGGCCGCGCCTCCCCCCTCCCCCTCCTCCTCCCCCCCCCTCCCCTTTTTTTTTTTTTTGTTTTTTTTGTTTTTTTTCTCTTCCCTCCTCCTCCCTCCTCCTCCTCCTCCTCCTCCTTCTCCTCCTCTCCTCCTCCTCCTCCTCCTCCTCCTCCTTCTCCTCTTCCTCCTCCTCCTCCTCCTCCTCCTCCTCCTCCTCCTCCTCCTCCTTCTGCTTCTCCTCCTCCTCCTCCTCCTCCATTTCCTCTTCCTCCTTTCCCAGAGATCCGACGCTCCGACAAAATCGGAGTGGCGGATTTGGGCAGTTTTCGGCCTCTGGGGGGCCCCCGCCGGGCCTCGGGAGCGTCAAACGACGACTGAGGACGCAGCATTGGCCCTGGGGAAGTGGCCCATCCTTCTGGGGCCCGCGCACCGACAAAATGATGTCTGGGTCCTCCTCCTCCTCCTCTCCTCCTCCTCCTCCTCCTCCTCCTCCTCCTCCTCCTCCTCAGCAGCCTCCTCCTCCTCAGCAGCCTCCTCCTCCTCAGCAGCCTCAGGGCACGCCCCTCGCGAGGCGCGGAGGGCCTCCCCCGCAGCCCCCGGAGCGGCCCGACGCCCTTTGGGGGGGGGGGGCACCCCTCGGCGGCGGCGGCGCCTGCGGCGTGGAGGGCGGTTGCGCGCGCGTTGCCGTCGGCGCCTTCGGCCTCGCCGCCTCCGGGGCGGGCCCCAGCCCCCTCGGGGGTGACCCCAGGGGTTAGGATGTCCCAGCCTACTTTAGCCTCTCGGGGGGGCAGACCTCCTACCCTCTGACACGTCGACTAATGAACTGTCCGTCTTCTGTTTTCGAGAGGGCGTCGCGGCCGTTATTTTTGCGGGTCCAGGTCCGTCGGTTTCGGTCCCGGGTCGTTTTCACTAAAGGGAGGTTTAGTAAAGGGAGGTTTGTCCACCGCCGAGCCTTGATCACCAGGAAGAATTTCGAGCAGCCAGAAAAAAGGACCGAAACTCGAGGGTTTGCACGTGTCGGGCCCTGGGAGACACTCGCCCGACACTGTTTCGGCAATCTTTTGGCACTTGTCTGGGTGCTCGGAATTATTTCTGGGATGTGGTCCTTAAGTAGGATGGACACAACATAACCCAGGGGGCTTCCCGGACCTTGGAGGAGGGCTAAAACAAGCACCAGAACCTTGACGCCTAAATTCCTCAGTCCAGATAAGTCAGCAGGTCTGGAGGGCTGCTTTTTGGTTCTCTGGAAGGTCACGGTTGGCACGATCTCGTTTCCGATTCGACCCGACTCGACCCTGTCGGCTTCTGCCGCCATGGGGGGAACGGGTCCTGAGGGAGACGGGTCTGATGGGCCTGTTTTCCACCACCACCACCATGACTTGGAGGAGGGGGAGGGGTCCTCCTCCTCCTCCTCCTCCTCCTCCTCCTCCTCCTCCTCCTCCTCCTCCTCTACCTCCTCCTCCTCTACCTCCTTCCCCCCTCCAACTTGTGGTGGTGGTGGTGGAAAGCAGGCCCATCAGGGTCTTGAGGTCTGT